GATTTGGTGAATTAAGGATTTATTTCGACCAAAATATTTGTTATTGTGTTGTTTGTTTTCTGTCAAGTTTGAAGTGTGTTTTCTGATTATTTGTAATTAAAATGACCAGTTTTGTCTATGGAGTCTGGTCTAAGATGCTAAGTTTCACATATATAACCTTGAGTACTTCTTCCACCACAGAGTCGGCAGGTCAGAAAACAGTCATACGAGTTGTTTTAAAATGCTCATTTGGGTCATTTTGAAAGGCGACGACAAACAATACGTTTTATTTTTAGTTTCGGAGGCCTCGTTAAGATCCGATCTCGTTAGCTGATGCGGTCGTTTCAGCTGAAGTCTCGTCTCCTCTCAGGTAGTAGGACAAACTGCTTAAATAAGCACAAACTGACCTGCAGATTCATCACTGTCCTGTTCCTGCAGCCTCCAGAGGGTGAGAGACAGACAGGCAGGCAGACAGACAGGCAGCTGTGGCCTCGTGTTAATCTGTTTAGGTGTGTGCAGAGTCAGACAGAAAGGCAACAGCAGGTCACTGATAGAAAACACACTCACATAGATCCTGATTATCTATTTAGATTCATGATAAAGATGTCAGCAGACTGTCTGGAGGGTTCATAGTTTTACATTTAGGGTCCAACTGCAGAGAGACAGTTATTCCTGAGAGCCGATGAGGTTTGAGCACGAGTAGGAGAGCTGTGTTTGGAGTTGGCTCCAAAAACTTTAACTTATTTTACATCAACAGTCCGACAAGATCAGTTTCTGAGTTGATGAATCTTCACTTATATTCGATCTACGAGGAATAGAATAAATCATCCGCCCAGCAGGGGGCGATCATTCCCAGGGAAACGTCAGCGAGCACGCAGCAGCTCGTCTGTCAGGAGCGTTTTGATGTTTGATGACGTAGTCTTTGTCACTTTGCTGCTTCTGAACTTCAACAGGACAAAGTTCACTCCTTCATTTCTCTCCCTGACTGATCCAATCAGGACGAGCTGTGTTTGTGCTGTCAGCCTGTCAGGAAGTGATTGATGCTCTCGCGCTCACAGTTAATTATTTGTGTGTGCGCTGTCACATCCATGGCGTTGGTTGTGTTGGACAGCAGCTCGGACTTAAAATGTTCAAAATCAAGTGACGAATCTGACTGAAAGTGATGTAGAGTGTTTCCTCCGGAAGAGACAGTTTACTGAATGTTTTCACTGGATCTGATGTGTTTCTGTTTCTGTGCTCGGAAAATATGTAAAATATATAAAATATATTTCATATTTCACTTTTATTTGTTGTTTTCATCAGGTTATAACAGCATCTATCTTTGTTTTATTGCAAAGTATAGCTTAAGAATCTGCCAAATAATAAGCATTGATTTGTGTTATTCCACACCCATTCTCTGCATCTGTAGCGCCCCCTAGTGGTCGATTTAAATGAAACTTTCAGGGTATGTTTCAGGCTCTTATGTGGACATTTCCTGTGAGTTTTGTGATGATCGGCCCAACGGTTGTTGACTTATTTCTGTTTATGTGCTGGGCCACCCTTTCTAAAGCTCATTGGTCAATATCTTGAAAACTAAATAAGATATCAATAAGCTTTATGCAATAATTGATCAGCTTCATCTGATGATGATCCACAGAAGATTTGGTAGCGATCTGACCAACAGTTTAGGAGGTGACGGCGAAAATGGCAGAAAGTCTAGTTAGGTGGACTAATTTTATGTCAGTGGGACCTACAGTGTGAGGGGCGTGGCCTTATTTTAAGATATTACGTCAATATTTTAATAAAGTTTCTCATTATAATGACTCACTTTGGCAGAAATGGGCTTCCATATATTTCAGCTCCTTTATGGGCTTAAATAAATAAAATGAGACACTTTTACAGTCAGTCTCTTACTGACTTTATTTCAGCCACTTTAACAACAGAAGGATAAAACTGCTTTAAATGCATCGCTGCGTCCCTGCTCTGAATATCAAAACCCTGAAATAACAACAACAACAACAACAACAACAACAACCTGAGAATTTAAATGATCTGTGTGAACCTGATCAGTGTGTTCAGACTGGGAGCTTAAAACCCTCCACATGTCGACACACACTAGATTGATCTCATTTGGGCCATTTATTGGGGACTAAAACACACACACACACACACACACACACACACACACACACACAAGTAATTGTAACCTCCACCTGTTGGCATAGCAACCGCAATCATCCAGGAGGGCGACCCACTTCTGATGTCACGGGGCGCAGCGTGTGGGATTGGCTGGTGGATGAGTGCCGTTGGGGATGAATGGAGCTGAATGGGGGAATAAGAGAGAGAGAGAGAGAGAGAGGGAGACAGAGAGAGGGCGATGGTCTCTCTACCTCCACTGAGCTGGATGAGATCCGATCAGATGAGCTCAGAAAAAGCGTTTTTACAGCCGAATAAAACACGTCCGAGGTTTATCACTTCAGCTGCAGCAGGAAGCAGAAATGTCCTCATGAGGAAATATTGGACAGATTTAAGGACAAAATGTCTGTAAATGTTCTCTGTGGAGACTCCTGAGAGCGGCCTCATGTTTACAACAGATTGTGATTAAATCTGTTAAATTCTTCCACTTTTGTGTTTTTATTAAGTCAAACGGCTCCAAGTGAAGTTACAAGTCTTTGTTGGTGTCTCTAGGTATCTGAAACCAACACGTACAATTTACCCGCTATTGATTCAAGCTACAAGCGGCAAGATGGCAATTTAGTTTAGACATTATAAACTTTACCTAGAATTAAATCAGTGTACAAAACAAATTGAGAAAATTGTCATCAAATGTTTTTGTTTTAACTCAAATTCCCAAGTTCTGATATAAACTTATAATGATGATAATTTACTTTTCTTCTTTAGAAAAACATGAATCTTTAAGTTTTAGAAACAAAATCTGTATTTTAAAAGAAAGTGGAAAACTAAACATTCTTTCTAAAACTCAAAGATTGAAGAAAATTACCTCAACAAAAGATTACTTTCTTTAGTTTATTTCAAAGACAGTTGCCTTGAAATTATAAGTTTTCTCTTTTTACAGTGTAGAAGCTGTCGTCCACTCCCTGGTTACACCAACATCTGCAGTGAAACATCTGCAGTGAAACATCTGCAGTAAAACATCTGCAGTGAAACATCTGCAGTGAAACATCTGCAGTAAAACATCTGCAGTGAAACATCTGTAGTGAAACATCTGCAGTGAAACATCTGTAGTCACGTCTCCTGTACAGTGTTTGTTGGTCTGATGGTTTATTATATATTGAATGATCATAGAAATATAATAAGGATATAATAATACTACAGTGTGTCTCCAGGATCGTCCTCTGTGACCACTACTACCCTTTAATGTTAATTTATAGTATTAGTGGCATATTGAGGGTTAGCACACAGGTGAGCAAACTAGCTTTAAAATACAGGTACAGCTCTTTGGCCCTTGACGTCCTATAAGATATAAAATATAAATTGTTTCCTCCTGTTTGTTTGATAAAAACTACAGCAGCTGTTTTAGGACATTACTGAACCTTAAAATGAAACTATATATTGTCAGAGAGTGCTCTTTATAGATCTGGTATCAGTTCTGTATCAGTTCCTGTATTGATATTCTTCCTGATGAAGACACACTGTGTGTCTTCATCGTCTGCTTTCTCTCCTTGTCGATGTGATATCGTTCATCGTGTTGAGCTGAAATCTAGTTTTTAGGTTGCAATCACCACAACTCCCCCTCCGCCCCCCTTCTGTGTACCAATCACATCGTCGTCATAGCAACCGGTTGATCCACAGTAACCAGCCAGGCACCAATCAGCCTCCTGCTACAAGACTCTGTGTGTGTGTGTGTCTGAGTATGGAAGCTGAAACTGAAACTAAACTGAAGTAAGAGAGAGTGATGCAGCCCCCCCATCCTCCCTCTGAGCCAATCAGTATTAAAGTGGTCACCTTGTTGTGACCTTATTACAGCGCCCCCTGCTGGGTGAAAGCCTGTCAACACACCGAGAGAGGGGCGCAACGATCCTCCAACTTCTGTCCAATCTGATGGATGTAGAACAAACTGATGATATATTAATGTTTTAAATAACAGCTGTAAGTGGAATAAAGTTCTTAAACCTGCTAAAAGGAGTTTCTGATTTCTATAAAGTTGTTCTTAAAGTCTCCTCTGATGGTTGAAGATTATCCTTTAAATCAATGACACAAGGTGGTGGAAACAACACAAAATGAAAGCTCCTTATTTAATAAAACTTACTTTAAAGGTTATATATAACCTTTACTGCCAGTAGGTGTCGCACTAGAGCCCCAGCTTCTTAGACCAATATCACTACGGCCCACCAGACTCTCTCATTTTAGCAGATAATCGTAAAACCCACCAACACTTTTTTTGTTAGTCTTTCCGACAATCTGGTTCGTATTTTACATCGAGAAACGTAGTTTGATGCTGCATTAATGTTGTAAATCTCATACATAACCTTTTAATAAAAGTATCTAAGCATAATCAGGGAAATGGAGTCCATAAATGTGCCAACAAACAGTCCAAACCTCTAAAATAATAATAATACATGTATTTTATATTGCGATATAATAATAATAAAATATTGTAATTAATTAAATTCATTTAATAATACAATTATTAAAAATAGGTTTAAATTAATAAAATAATTAAAATAAATTCAGCAAATCTTCAATCTTGTTAAGCTGACTTAATTGTGTTACATATTGTACTACAACATAATACTATATTAATGCAGAAAAACTAAAAGTATAATTACTTAATAATAATATTATTCTGGTGTAAGTAGTTGATAATATAATTTTACTCTTACATACTTAGTACCTCATAGTTTTAAGTTTAATTGCTCTTGTATAGTTTTTATTTCATGTATTTACTTTTTTATCTGAACTTATTTATGTGTTTGTGCTGCTCCCACTTCTGAATTCTCCCTCTGATCAATAAAGTCTTATCTCCTCTAATCTCATTTAAGACAGCGGTGTTGATATTGATCTGTTTTCCGTCCCCCCAGTGTTCGTATGTCCCTCCCTGCGAGCGGGACAACCAGAAGAACAAAGACAGTGTTTTGTGGTGGGAAGATTACTTCACCAAAGAGGTCAGCAGTCAGTCCTTCACCTGCTTCTTCAACCAGCAGAGGAGGTGAGACACACACACACATTTACACTGAAGTCTATTTTAAGGTGTGATACAGAGAAATTGGAAATGTGGGGGGGGATGTGCGATGCTGTGAAATTTACCTCGGTGACAGATCATTGTTACCACGGGAGATTGCAGATGGCCGCCGCAGCCTGCAGCAATACGTGGGCGTCTTTTTGACACAAATGTTCCACTTCTAAATTGTCTGCCTGCGACCTTTGACCCCACAGAAGAGGCCATTAACTTCAGTTTAACTTTTCAGTTAAAGTTTCTCACGGTCAGCATGTTTTAAATCAGAAAAGAGTTCCACAAAGCAGCGGGGGATCATGGGAGTTGTTGTCTTCACCACCATTGGCGTCATTGCAGTCAGCTTCTCCCGGTTAGGATTCCTTCAGTGTTCATGGTTCAGGAGGTTTCTACCGGGAGCCCAATGATCCACAGAGGTCTCCTCCTCTCCAACACAAACAGACCCGCTGATTAAAACCACTAAACACACTGAATAAAGCAGTTCCACCTTAAACACACTGAATAAAGCAGTTCCACCTTAACAATCACTGCTTCTCCCACGCTGTTGGACAGACAAAGGACGTCCTGGAAAATGACGGATTTCTCTGAGTTTGAACATTGTTGGAAACATTTGGGATAATGGAAGAACTCAACTACATATAGAACATAGAGCCAGAGCTTATACACTGTTTGATGAGGATGATGTTACAGATTAAAGCACACTAAAGACTGCAGTTTGCACCAAAACAAACACTGATACATGAATAAAGTGAGAAAATGATGACAATATCCAACTGAAACTGAAGGTCTTCTAATCAAACCTCCACTGTAACCTGGAGGTACACTTGAAGTATAAAGGGAGGTGGCTGGATATTGTCAGAGATAAAAGAAGCTTTTCTTTTTTTATTCAGGTTATGTCATCCTGTTCAGAAGCGCAGAACCTTTTTTTCTTTCACGCTGTGACCGAGAATTGATGAGCCAGAGAAAAACATAGATCTCCTTTAGCGTGTCAGCGTAATCCTCCTATTATTCTCAGACGATGCTTACCTGTGACCTTGGCTAGTTTTATTTTTGTCTCTGCACCAGAAGGATCAGAATGAGGAAACTCTGCTTCGTAAATGAGAGCCCGGTGGGAGCTCGTTGATGCTACAGATAAGCTTTTCTCTTGTATTTTAGAGAAAAAGAACTGGAGCACTTGAGAGGTTTGTTGAGGTGAGGAAACAGTTGATGTATGGGGTTATTTCATTAAGGTTATATTCCAAAAACTCTATGCAACTCTGTAGTATTAGTATTACTTGACTTTGCCTTGTACTGGATATACTTTTCATTGGAAACAGCTCCAGAGAGGAGCATGGGGTTGCTACCGTCCTCACAGGAATGTAACCCTTCATAAGCCCCGCCCATTTTCGCTCCTAAGTCCCGCCCCCTTTTTGCTCTGTGCTCCAATAACAGTTGAGTAAACCGCAGTCAGAACCTCGGTCAACTTCCTCCTTTCCCATACTTCATTATGCTATGTGCAAGGCTAACTAGCTAACTAGCTAGCTAACTCACATCAATTGTTTGTTAGTTAGTTAGTTAGCCATCATTTTGCTAGCTTAAGATGTGACTGTATTGGTACGTTCCACATTTTAAAGGTCCAGTGTTTAACATTTAGGAGGATCTATTGTCAGAAATAATTAGCTAGTTACCCTGTTAACTGTTTGCATTGTTAGCTAATATTGCATTTAATATAGCTTAGCCCTGCTAATGTTGAACTGGCAGTAGATTATCTCCACTAATATCGGGTTAGCTTTATGCTCAGTTGATGATGGATCGCTGATAGCTTTGCCGCACTAATGTTACGTTCCATTTCTGTCCCATTTCTTGATTGCTGTCCTCCACGATGAATTTTACAACTGGATGTCACGTAGCTCCCTCACACAAGGCGAAAACATTAAATGTAAATTATGTAAATCATGTAAATTAAATAAAATAATATACGTTTAACAATTTAATTAAATATATTTTATTCCATTCTTTGTAAACAATAGCAATTCCTTTGTAGAAAAGTACACAATGTTTCTTTAAGTAGTATCACTGACAGAGAAAGACAGTGTTTACCCTACTGTTTCATGTCAGATTGGCTGCTGTGAAAAAGGACTTCAGTCTTTTAATGTGAAATCTCTGCAGGAATTAAAGAATTTACAGAAAAACGAAACACCTGCTGTAAATCCTGCTTTTACTGTTTGTTTGTTTCTTGTGATTTCAGGCCAGATGACGTTCTGTGGCGCCGCTCCCACGACACCAGCGTCCTGCTGCACTGTGTCCTCTGGCCAATGGTGTCGCTCCTTCTGGGCACCCTCATTGTGCTCCTGACGGTGTGCGCGCGTTCGTTGGCCGTTCGAGCGGAGGCTCTCCAGAAGAGGAAATGCTCCTACGAAGTGTGCCAAGACCTGTCCGCCACGCCCTCAGATCGCCGCGGCAACAAGGCCGAAGACCCACTCTCGACGAACTCTGACCCTGAGCTGTCGTCGCCGACAAGGACCCTGCCGCTGTTTGCGGTGCCGGTGCGGCGCCGCGATCGAGAACATTAAAACAGAAAGCTGTTTTTCCGCTTGATGAAATTCAGTCCGTTGGGATGCTAACGAGCTGGTGGGCGACTGACTGGCTGAGGACGCCGCCAGCAGCCCCCTGCTGTCTGGAGCGAAGATGAAACGAGGATGAGGGGAAATCCACCCTGTTGCCTACAGATTTCAGCAGAAACATCAGCACCTTTCATAACTCAACAAACTGGATCAACAGCGACTTATGGACGCCGCTGAGTTGAATCTTATAATCAGCATATCTTCTGTGCTAGAGTCAGTTCCTATAATGACAATAGTGCTGTGAATGAAGAGTCAAACAGCTGCTCTTTACTGCGGTCTTAACTGTAGCTCTTCTCTTAATGTAGTTCTCCCTTTGAGTCCCAGTAGCCATAACTGTTAATGAATAGAGCCAAAGTCCTCTTCAGGCTAGCTGCTGTTCCTCTAGCTTCTATGGCTCAATGCAAACTTTCATTGAGGGTTTCTGAAACATGAAACATGTTTCTTGGGTTTACATTACAGATTGGAAGATAAAAGAGTCCATAGAGGTTCAACAGTACGATTTAACCTTGTGTGAGTTTAACAGCGTCCAAAACAACTTCAGATTTCATTATTTTTTTTGTTTTCCAGTGCGCACAAAACGTCTACGCTCTCTTCTAAAGTCATCCTTCAAACTCAGCTGTCCTAGTGTTGTTACAGTCCTTTATTTCTGAGATTGTTTTGGGGGCATTTTCGTCATCTAATGAGTGGTGGAAGAAATATTGAGACCCTTTTACTCAAGTAAAAGACAACAAAACAAAAACTCCATTACGAGTAAAAGTCCTGCATTCAAAATCCTACTTAAAGATACAGTCTGTAGTTTCTGCCATTAGGGGGTCTCTCACATCAGAACAATAAGAAAAGAGGAAGTTTGATGAGGTGGTGAAGCAGCGTGGGATCATGGGAGTTGTTGTCTTCACCACCATTACCGTCATTGTAGTCAGCTTCTCCCAGTTCCTTCGGTGTTCACTGACCCTGATAACAAGTCTAGTGTTTATAGACATGTTAACGCGGAAATGTTTCATATTAGAGCTTTAAGTAAAAGTATCATCAGCAAAATATATTTAAAGTATCAAAAGTAAAAATATTTGTTGCTATAACACACATTAAAGTCTTGATGAATGAATGTTAGAGCAGCATTTTACTGTTGTAGCTGCTAGTTGGAGCTAGTTTGAACAACTTTATATACAGTTTAGCCCACTGATTCCCAACGTAAGGGTCATCAGATCAATCTGAGGGGTTGTGAGATGATTAATGGGAGAGGAAAGACAAAGAAACAATGTTCTGTTAAAGAAATTTGTATAAATTTTATGGACTTTTGGTAATTAAAACATTTGAACAGTAATGAAATGAACCCATGTGAGGAAGTTTAGAGGTGAAATTGGTGGCACTGACGTCAAAAACAAGAAGTGGAGTCTAAAGCAGAAAAAAGTTTGGGAACAACAGCACGCCTTTATTCAGGCTCGGTGACCTCAAACGACAAACCAATCTGACAGAAATTCAGCCCCGTTGTAAAATCAGTCTTCCCTCCATGAAGCAACCAACAAGCCTCGAAACAAGTAGAGCATCAATCAAGTCTTTCAATCTAATTAAGGAGGTAATGAAAGGATGCTGTAGCAGCGTGATCACTGAATGTTAAACAGGCAGCAAACACTGGGGGAGAGGACATAAAAACAAACACATGGCCGGTGCCCAGAGGCCTTCTTTCTTTCAAATGTTGCCTTCAGTGGTAACGAGGACAAAATCTAGACCATGTGACTAAAGCAGGATGCCAGTGACCCCATTTACACCGAGTCACTTAATGTGGATCGTCTGGATCGAAGACTTAAATGTATCGAGGAAAAACTCTGTTGGGAGCGCTTCTTGGACTGAATTAGTTTGAGGTGATCTGGATAAGGATTCACATCACAAGTCAACTCGGACAATTAAAATGCCTTTATTGTCTCTGAATGATGGCCAGAAAAGACAGGTGTTGTGGCAAAAACTGATTGCCGTCCACTTTAAAGGTATTTAAATGGTAAAAGCACTGGATTGGTTATGATTTAGGGCAAAGAGCAGGTAACGTAATGTAGAGTCATAATTGGAAAAGAGATCATTTCTTTAATAATTGGTCCTTAAATCACATTAATTACAGCCTAAACAAGGATTTTAAACACATATAAGGATGGAAACGATGCTTTAGTATTGTCTGGTTACAATATAAAGCAGTGCTGTAGTACTCAGGTCTTCGACTCGAGTCCACATTTGAGATGTTTTTGTCTCTTGTCTCAGACTCGTCTTGGACTCATTGGTATTTCTTATTCTAGTTGATCTGTAGGACTTCCTCCTTCAAAACAAAACCATTGATGAAGCGCACTTCAAGCATTGACATTGGTTGCCTGGTAACCAAGGTCACGAACCTCTGTCAATGTCACTTGCAGTCGTACACCAGGTTGCCGAAACTCATCTCATTGGTAAAACCATTGTTACTGCCTCGGTCTCGACTCTATCTCTCTCATTTGGACATGGACTCACCTTGGACTCAAACCTCTTTGGACTCGGTCGTGACTCGACTAGTCCTGGTCTTGGACTCGACAAAGGTGGTCTTGACTACAGCATCGCTATAAAGTGCAAACACTTTTTCACTGCAGCCATTTTAACATGAAATAGTGGTAAACACAGGTTTGATGATGATAATTAAGGATCCATGGATTCAGTTTTGTAATCGTAGAGGAAACTTGTTTGGAAGATGGAAATACTCCATTACTTTGATTTTAACAAACAAAACAGGATTTTTAATCGTCATTAGTCTGAATTTTGGGGAGAAAGAACACAATTACTAATTCTGTGGGGAGTAGCAGGAAAGTAATATAACTAATAGTGTAACTAATTACTGTTGAAAGGGAGTAATAAGTAAAGTAATGATATTGCTTTTGAAAAGAGTAATGAATTAAACTTTTTGAGTAACTAGCCCAACACTCATAAACAGTTTGTGGCGCAGTGTAAATAAAAGTCTTGAATATAGTCTGGATTTAATCCGGATACACTTGAACTGACAGCTGATCAGTGAGGAACAGGACAGACTTAATAAAGTTATTTCCCTACATTTGTATTTGTCATTGCAGTGGTGACTGATTAATTCTGGACTATAAATTATAAAATAATGGTGGTTCATGAGTTTCGTAGCGGTCGGGACTGCTTTGTCTTCACTGTTGTTGTTGTCTCGTGTGTTTTTAGAGAAGCAATAAGGACCGATCATTATGTATTCTTTTTATTTTACTTCTGTCCATCAGTGGGATTTGCAGCTGAAAGTAGAGGAGCTGTTTTAGAGACTCTGCCAGCAGTGCACTGTAATGTGTCCGTCTACACTCTTGTGAATCTGATTGGCTGTTTGGTTTCAGGTCAGAATTAGAGACACGCCGGGAAATTCTGGGCCGATACCGATGTTTTGTTTTTGTTGTCGCCCTTTTGTACCGAGGAAACAAAGAAATCTACACTGATGAGATAAGCTTGTTGTTGGTATGACAGAAATTATCTTTGGGAAACTTGTATTTGACTTGTATTTTGATTTTTTAGTTTGTCCCATCTGTTAAATTGGACGGCACTGGGTTTATGACCTATACTGCAACCAGCCACTAGGGGGCGACTGAGATGTTTTGGGCAGCTCTCATGTTGTCCATCTTTATATAAAGTCAATGCTGCCAAATTAGAGTGAAACCACATCCATACGGCTCAAATAAACACTCTGCTGTCCGCCTTTTGCAGCACTCCCTTTTAGCTCTGACGCTACGGGGACCCTGAGCCGGTCAGGAGGCCGAGGTCTGCTGGATTCGCTCCCTAAACCAAAACCAGTTGGTGTCAGAGGCTTCTGAAGGAGTTTGAGTTCACTTTTGGTCGTAGTGGTTGCATCCAGCTGGGAGTCAGTATGGCAGCATATCAGGATCATCATCAGTGGTTTGTTCAGTGAAACAGGGAGAAATTAGTGATGTGCTCGAGGATCCAGTGTCATTTTCTGGATTCCTGTGTGATAATCTGTCTGATTCGTCTTTGTTGTTTTGACGCATTTCTATAAAACGAGGCAAGCAGCTCTGGGAAAAAGTGAAATTATTGTTTTAAGTACAACAACTTTGAAAGGCTGAATTACTTCCCTGCCACGCAGCAGAGTTAACAATAGATCTGCTATCACCAAACATGATTCATCCTGTATCAGAGGGAGTTTTTGATCTTCAAGCGTCGTCTCCAAATTCCTACCAACAGTCTAAAAATTACCTACACGTTGCTAAGCAACAGCCACAAGTCCAAGTGATGTCGCTGCCAATGAAAAAGTAAAACAGCCAAACTTCAGTCTGCGGATTGCTTCTGTTCTCTGTGTGAACTGACTGTTGTTGTAAATACATATTTTCCTCCTCAGGTTCCGCAGTTTTATGTTTTGTGGGAAACTTGAATGTTGCTGCGGTAGCACATTTAATTTATTTTTTTGCGCAGCTCCTCGTGGAAAAGTTTGTTCTGTGTCGATGTTTGTTCTCAGATATGTGTTGTTGATTTTGACCTGAGCAGAAGTAGAAGCAAGATTTTAGCGTGTTCTCAGCAAATTGTGACTATAAACAAACTATGAATGTAAAATATTCTTTATTTATTCCTCTGTAAGGGGTCAGATCACGCAGAGACACATCACTGGAAACGCGTCGCCAACATATCCATTGTTTTCCTGTGGTCTGGTGTGCCTGGCGTGCACTCCTCTCGCACGCAAGTTAAAACACTGTGAGAGCTACGGAGTATATTGTTTGAATCCATTTGGATTCACCCTGTAGTGCGATACAATACTGGTTGTGTTTCTTGCCGAGGCGTTTTTGAAGCAGTCGTCCCTGTAGCGATGCGTCTCTGTGGGATCGCCCGTTTAGGCCTAATGTGCACAGATTTCATTATTTGTACTTTTTTTTAACAGATTTTGCTGCAAGAACACAAACAGACTCATAAAGGAACAAATTAAACACCTTGTTTTACATCATAGCTTCTCCACTTCACAAAAATTAAGCCAAAATGTCTCGGATACAGCCGCTGCCATCTTGTGTTGGTGAGATCATTCGGAGCCAAAGCAGTCAGGGTTGGCGCCGTGATTTTGAAGTCCCGCCCGTACGCCTGGGCGACTCAACCGTGAGCAGAGCTCAGCTGTCAATCATGGCGTGAACCCCCTTTTTTATTGCTTCAAATAACTAATTAAAACCACACTGATCAGAATAATATGTGAACATTGGGAGGGGGGTGGCGGGGTTTATGACCTATACTGCAGCCGGCCACAGGACTCTGATTTCTGTTTCATGTGGACTTTAAAGTTTCCACAGATTTGCAGTTTACAGCAACTGACTGAATGTGGAGCCGAGAGCAGGAACGACTCATGTAGCTTCAGGATGTAGCTTTGTTGTTCTCTCTTCTTCCCCTTTTACCTCCTCGTCTTCATGCTTTTCCTTTTTATTCTTCTTAATATTTAATTTTCTCTCTTTAATTTGACTCCCCCAGTGACGTCGTTGGAAACTGTTTGAAAAAGTTGTCAGGCACTTAATACTGGGCAGTTAATTAGATCCATTGATCACCTTCTATCATAGGCAACCAATCAGATCAATGAACTATATAACGTAGTCAAACTCTTACTGAAGCCAGTCAGGAGGAAAGCGAAAACATCTTTTCAATTGAGAAAAGCCTTCAATGTTGTTCTTCTTTCAATTAACACTCTCCAGTTCTGATATAACTGGTGCTAGCAGCAGCTAAGCTAACCCGTAGCTCGTGCAGTAGCTGCCAGTCCATCTGCCTCACAGGTTTATTCTTTTTTAATCCAACTTTCTTCCTTTCCTTTTTACCTTTTCTCTACTTTCCCCTGTATTCTTTCTTTCTTTCTTTCCGTTTTTCTTCTAAAATAAAATAAAACCTGTTGGATTAGAAGCTTTCCTTACAGCCAATAGAGCCTCAGTGTAGAGTTTGATGTTAGAGATGTACAGTCTGTGTCTCCAGCATTTAGAAACTCTCAGATGCTAACTTGCATACGTTGGGCAATTTGCATAATTAGCATTAATAATCAGCTATATGGACAGTATTTCAGCAGCTGCTTGGCCGATCGGGACAATATAGGAGTGGTTTTGAGGGGTTATTGAGGATGATGAATCCATTTCTGATATTTCCAAAGTACAAAATGGCCATTTAAACCAGAAGTGGCCATATTTCAACTCCTGTTGGGCTGATTGTGATTAATTTTGAGTCGATTTTTGAAGTTATTTATTGGCTTAATACATAACCACAGCAGCAAAGACACAAAATGGTGCACAGCAAAGCAAAAACGGCAGCAGAACTGGAGAAATTTGAAGAAATATTATGTCTGAACACTGTCACCAATGACATTGAGCTTTCTCAATTCCCAAATACAGGAATGAATTACAGTACACACTCCAACAGGAGTTGAAATATGGCCACTTCCAGTTTAAATGGCCATTTTGTACTTTAAAAATTTCATAAAAACCACTCCTATATCGTATAAAATATTGTCCATGTTATAGCTGAATGTGCTAAATATGAAAATGGTTCAACATATGCAAGTTAACATCTGGCAGTGTCTAAACAGTCGGGAGCCTCACTAATCATTCCCAACATAAAACTTTAGGGTAATCAACATTTCCGGGTTCAATTTGCCAACAAGACTATTTCTAGAAAATCAGCAAATCAGTGACACAAAAAATAAAACAACACTGAAGAAAAAGGAACTAATATCCATGAAGAGCTGATGGTAAATATCCAGATCTGTCAAATAAAATCTCTAATCTTTGACAGATACAAACGTATCTCCACCTTGGATATCGTACTGTATTTTTGTGCATTTATTGGAGTGCAAAGGGAGACTTTTATGAATCCAATTTGTTTCTGCTGTTAACTGTTGTTTTCAGGGCCGGATCTAGAGAGAGGAGGCAGCTGCCAACCCTAAAAAACATGCATGGCCACCACAAATGTGACAAAGATGTGGAAATAAAACTATTTATTGATTTATAATGCCACCTTTTAGATATTTCTCTTCAATACTTTACAAATGTAATGTTTTAGAGTTCAAATATCTTAATTTTGGGTGTTTTTCAAGGCATTTTTTGTGATTAAATCCGCATATAGTTGTGAATATTTCTCTAGATCCGTCCCTGTTTGTTTTTGAGTACAAACGAGGTTCCAGTAAACTGAGTAAAAGCCATCTTGTTGTCCCTGAATCATCCGTACTCTCCAAAGAAAATGTAGCTCCACCGTAGCATTTCTGTGTATTTTTATGAGCTGTTGTTGTCTTTCTGTCCGAGATGAATAATGTTAGATTTTCTATCTAAAGCCATATGCTAAGCTGTGAACTGCAGTAGCAACTAAACGCTGTATTTCGCTTCCTCACCACAAAAAACAGAAGTGTTTATTCTCACAGACGTGATTTTGGTATTTAATGAGATTTTAATTGATTTTCTGATTTATTTCTCCCCCCTGAGTTAAACCAATGGCTCACATGGAGCAAAATCTGTCTTTAATTTAATGTATTAATGTCATTATTATTGTTGTTGTTGTATGATCGAGCAGGAAGCTCCTGTTTTCCTTCCTATCACACCTTTGTACTGCGCACTGTGTCGTCTGCAGGTATTTCGTCGTCCTTCATCTCCTCAGAACCTCAGCTGTGTACCATGTGACCCAGGTAGCCGCTTCGCCCGTGTTTTAACGATGATAACTATAGTGCCTGATAGAGATCTTTAAATAAAAACACATTTTGTGTTCACATTTGAGTCGCACTGCAGCCTTTTGTGCTCGTCCAGCCTCACATTTTAACATTTATTTATTTTTTGTTTCATTATTGTAAATGTGTCTACGAAGAGAAAAACAAAAAAAGTCTTAACTCAAGGTTCATTTATTTATTTTTCTTTACACATCTCACATCTCTATTAGTGGATGGAGATCGTTCTTCTGTTTAGTTTGAATATTACAGGATATTTTTAGAAGATCAGCTATTATCTTTGTATTTTATGTCTTAATAAATGATGTTTTATTAATATTTTGGGCATTTCTTGCCTTTGTTAGTTACAGTGGAGAGACGACAGGAAATTAGGGAATCAGAGATGCAACAACCGGTTGGATACAACAGTGTTTCTCCACACAGACCCCTATAGGGGTACTTTAGAGCAGTGGTTCCCAACCTGGGGGTCGGGACCTCCACTAGGGGTCACCAAAGCTTCATGGTGGGTTGTGAGGCCTTCTTGATTTTAAGGGGTTTAAGAAAACTTAAAAAATACACTCAGCTGATACCTTTCTGTGAATAAAACTAAAATTAATTCCTGTTTTATTACATTATTACTTAGGGTCACAAGCTTTATTCACAGAGCCTTCAGTCTCTGAAAAACAGCCTCGTCCTGCATTAGAAAAGAAGTCAAAAAATAAATATATACTGCAGTTCCTCTAATGGCCACTAGAGGCTCCAGCAGTGAGTCTCCATAAGGCCTCATATTAAACTGTCCAACAGCAGAAATAAACATGTTTACAGTCTTTTGGTCTCTGTAGCTAATTTCATTGTACAGGTGGTAAATTGCAATACACCTCACCTGTTTAAATTATATTAAATCTCAAAGGTTTGTATAATTAAGAGTGTGGACAGGCGACTGGTTTCAGTAACCTTCATTCAGCCTCAGCTCCACACTGAGCTTCACAATCTGTGGGTGACGTCACGGAGACTCTGTCCATTTTTAATTATACAGTCTATAATTGGCATCATATTTTAAGTTAAATGAAATCCAGTCACTTTGGTCGTGGCCTTGATTAGCCGACCAAACGGAGACCCTTTTACAACCACCTGTTATTGTGTATACAGACAATAGAGAAGTGAAGACTGTAAAATGTGGTTGAAACCTACAGAATGACGTTTTTTTACATCTGTGAATTATGATTGAACACTGAAACTGTGAAAAAACTTTTTTTAATAGACTTCTAATTGTATTTTAATCTTTTTATGTGAAAAAAGGGACATTTTCTTGAAATAAGCAGTCATTTTATGACTATATACAGTTACAGAATCGTCCTATTTTTTTACTTTCACAGGATATTTTTCCATCTATTTAAAAACAACAACATGAACAAACGATAGAGAAGTGGAACAAAGAGAAGAAAGAAACAAAAACGCAATAAAAAATGCGACAGTCGATATTATAAAGACGTGGGTTAGTTTGGACGTCTGTGTCCTTCCTTTCATCTGTCCTTCCTCTTCTTTGCCCTCATCTCTTTTCTTTCATTGACAAATCCCATCAAAATGGAGTATGGCCTCCTATCAGACAAGAGGACACACACACACACTTGTACTGCCTGAGTCACACCACTTGTTCTTTATAATCAATGAATATTCAATGACTCACACACACACACACACACACACACACACACTGACCCTCTCTCACCTTGGACAACAGAGTTAATATCAGACCACTTATCCCCAAAAACACACACACTGTCTCTCTTTCTGTCACATGTTTTTATTCACTGGTGGAAAGTAACAAACTCTCTTTTTGTACCATTTGCTCCAATAGCAGTGGAGGAATGTAATTAAACAAGTACCAATGGGAGCTGATCAGATATGGATCCAGATCCTGTTGCTGCGTAGACATATTTTACTGTTTATCTGGAATACGAGATTGTTTGTGAGCAGGCGAGCAGCCATTGTTTCTACAGACGAGGTGAAGCTGAGCAGAGAAGGTGATGGATTAAAAGAACAACAACATTGGAAGCCTTTACAAACCTGATGGTGAACTAGTTTCTTCCTTTAACTGTTTTTGTTTAAATAATCTGCACGCTTACATCCATAGGTGTGTGAATGCTTTTAATGTTCTTGTTTTTAAATCATAGATTGTACAGGACAAATTAGACTGAAATCAGAGGAGATTTAGTATTTATACACATAAAATAAATATTTAAATGAATAAAACAAATACAACACAAATAGGTCATATTCTATTCTATACCAAAAATAATAATTAAACAAATCATTTACTGGCATCTCACCACCACTTTACTCTGAGTCTGAGCTACGTGGGGAAACAGCGCCCCCTGGATTGTACGCGGTAAACGTCGGTTAGCGTGTGTGGTCAGACGGGGTATTGCACTCGTTAATAAAACGTGTGGAGCTCTACCGGAGGAAACCGGGACGAAAACCGGGAGGAAACCGGGTGAAATTGACATCGTTTAGTTCGAAATGTGCTCACTGTCGGTTCTGTCGGTTCTGTCGGTTCACCGTGAGACGGTTAAATATCCGTTTAACGCCAAACGTCACTCAGAAAGTTAGCTCGTTAGCTTCAATGCTAACGGAGAAGTGCGGTAAACAAGGATTCAAACAACGTTACTGAAGAAACACAGAACGGTGAGTAAATAAATTCACATTGTTTCTGTCTGTGGAATAAACTAAATGTTATATTTTATGATTGTTATTTAGTCTGAAGGTATTTTTGTTGTAAATGCTCCACTATGACTTTTTTTACTCGAGTACATCTGTGAGGAATTTAACGTTACACTTGAAGTTGAGTATTTTTAATTTATGCCACTTTATACTTTATACTTATAATATTCTAGTTTTTATTTCACTACATTTATTTATTAGCAGCTTTGCAGATTTAAATTAATACAAAATATAAATCAAAAGTAAAATGTACTCATTATTAAATAAAGCTGCAGTTTGCAGATTATTGATAAAGGTAAAACTCCAGATGTAATAAAACATCTGAAACCCCTTAAAAATTACATTTGTGATGCAGAAATTGTCACATTAATCACAATGTGTGTTAAAATAGCTGCAACATGATGTTTTTACCATAGTGTGCAGCCCTAGTATGAGAAATAAAAGCACTCATGCAGAATAATATGTATGATGTCACTGGATTATAATGTAATATAAATAATAGTGTTTCAGCTGGTGAAACTAATTTAATGTAGTTTATATATTGTTTACTGTTTCATTTTTAATGTACAGAGTGCGTCTATTTAGACAGTTTTATATATATATATATATATATATATATATATATGTTATTTGTTCCTTCATTAACCAGTGATCAAACATTTTGTGCATTTTCCTGAACTGTTAGTTGAAGACGTTAACAGTCGTTGGCGATACGATAAGTATCGCGATTCAATATATTACGATATATTAGGAAACTGTAAGCGGTCCGATATTTTCATTTACTTTGGTTTAAATAATTCTGCTTTAACTGTTGAGTTGGTTCTCATATTTTAATATCGGTTCTGAATTATTTTTGAGAATTTAATTTGATTTTTAATGTAAAGAAATACACATATCTCAAATATTACAAATCATTTTTTTCTTCCTTTGTAAACATGAGTAAGGCTACAAATTTTGTGCATTTGTGTTTGTTAATTAAACACATTAACAATTAATAAATTTAAATTTTTAGCACATTAGAGAAAACCATTGTTATTTTTGCAGTTATGGACGTTGAAGTAGGATTTTAAATGTCACATTGGGATAAAAACACAAACGTGTTGTTGCCTTTTTTGAACGATAGCAGCAGCGTCCTTTATACCTCACTGTGTACTTCATACCGTAGTTTTTAGACTTCCTCACAAATACTTCCTGCTAAAATGACCTGTTACTTTTAATTAGTCTCCTACAGGATCAGATGTGTGCTTCCAGTCCTCCCTCAGCTTTAATCACTTCTTATTTTAACAAACAGTAAGCAGAGGGTTCAGTGAGAGCAGCTGTTTTGGTGCTCAGCTGGATTAAAAACCTGCAGACTCTCGGCCCTCTGTGGCCATTTAACACCTCCTCTACAGACAACACTTCCCTCTCAGCAGCCTCCTCTCATCCCATAAATATTAACAACACTGCCATCAGCACAACCAGGACCTAATTGAGAACAGTACATCAGCTCCTCCCTTCAGCGCTGAAGTGAAACAAAGACCTGAAATGACCTCAAACTGTCTTTTAAACATGTGCTGTGTTCAGCAGTGGGTCCAAACCTGAGGATCCGGACCCCTCAAAGGGTCGCTAGATAAATCTCAGGGGTCACAGGAGAGAACTTTTGAGTTTTCTGTAATAATAATGACGTTTTTTATCCTCATCCACAACCTGCATTATATCTCGAGCTTTCAGTTGGACAGAAACTTAATATCAGATATTTTGGTAATTAATTATAAAAGACAAACATTTGTTGACGTCGTCTCTTTAATTTGATGATTTGTGTTTTATGGCGCTGGATAAAAACATATTGACTGATTAATTGTGATTATTATTTGACTGAACGAAATATCTTTGAGATTTGGACTGTTGGTCTCTAGCAGTGTTTAAACTCGAACTAGCTAATAGCAGCGAGTACAGTTACATACGCAGCAGTTTCTGTTTCTGTTTCTCTGCGACTGTCAGACTCATCCAGTTCTCGATTCCCATCCCTAACTGTCACTGTTAGCATTTAGTACGACCTCACAGAGCTGCTACCTGTACGCTCTTAGTTTGTGTTTCATCCTTTAAACTTTATGTAAGAGTGTCAGTAAATCTTCTTCCTGCTGTTTGTTAATCAATATCACAATTTATTAACACACCGACAATCAATACGTCTAAATGACTGCACTTTGGAGCCACTGTGAATGTTTGAGAGCGTCTGCTTCTATTATATCTTCAGTTATGTCGGGGATTAAAGCTCTTTATATATTTAACAAAGAAGTCGTTTCAGACATTCAGAAAGCTAAAATGATTTTCTCTCGTCTCTTTTTTGTGTCTTTTGGTCTTAATGGTCTTTTTAATATATCTGCTGGGCTGTGTAAAAAGTAAGAAATGAAGTAAATGTAAAATGTCATCCTCTCTGATACCGCAGGCTTTGAAAGGTCAGCTCTGAGATATTCTCCAGCGCCATTAAAACTCACACAGAGAGACAGAGGAGTTCAGCTTCAGGTCAACGTCAAACAATTCAATTCTGTAAAAGAGACACTTCCACCGTTGAGCTGATCCTGAAGTCTCGACCGATCGGACCCAGCTGGACTGTGTCTGTCCCAGTCTGGTTCAGCTGCTGTTAGGAGATAAAATCAAACAGTATGTTTATTGATATTTAATCAGCAAGAGAAATTATCTTTAAAAATGTTTGAAAATCCATCGATGATCAGGAAGTTGTACGTAAAGGTTCCATATGTTCATTAGGTTCATTAAACTGTTAATAGTGACGTTGCTGTTAACTTCTGGGTAACACAGCAGAGAGAATAAAACTTTAATATTACTGGCAGACTGGAGACGGCAGAGCTTAACTTTACTCCAAACTAACTGACACGATATCAAATAGGCAGCTTAAATCTCTACATTGAGCCTCAGAGGACAAAAGAGCTGATAAAGTTAATCTTTGATGTGTTTTTACTACAGACTGCTACGGAGTAACGAGGGCTAATAACGAGTGATAACGTCACCGGCTGTCTGTGACCCGACTTCAAACCTGGAAGCTGTGAGTTCTGTTTTGTTGGTTTAGTGTTCTTGTTGTTGTTTAGCCTGCTGATGGTTGCTTCAGCATGTTGATGGTTGAGGTTTCTGGACTTTGTTGAGGGACAGTGGAGAGAAACTGTGTCAGCTTTGTTGTTGTATGAAAGCCTGTTTATCTCTTCAGTCCTCTTCAGTGCGTGTTGTTCCTGTATTGATAATGCTACGTATGAACAATAAATCGTCAAACAGCAGGAAGTCTTTTTCTTGATAACGTAAGTTTGATTAGCGCCCAGCAGCTAGCAGATGGAGAGACTGTGGATGAGTTAGTTAACCTTAGAAATAACAGATTTAACTTTCCCCATCAACCATCAATCGACTGGTTGAATTTCAGTCCAACAACATTTTCTTTGGTTGACTGTTATTGTACCTGAAGACCCTCTAGAGGCTGAAATGACATATTAAATGTTTAAGAACATTTATTCCACCAACTGAACTGAAGCACGTGGAAAATGTTGTTCCTATATTTATGTTTCCCCTGACTGTACGAGCTGGCTGGACTTGTTTGTTCCTCTTTGAGCTCACTGTCAGGACGGACTTGAAGCTCGTGGGACGTTGGATGATCTAACTTTGTCTCTGTATAAATCTCTGCCAGGACGGAGAGGGGCGGGTGGGGATGAGTTGGAGGTTCGGGCCCTGGGGGATTCGGGCTCAGCTCGGCCTCTCTGACAGGGACTCCTCGCATCTCCATTAAGCCCCTGATAGCCGCCGTATCTGGGTTACCCAGTTCTGCTCAGGCCTCAGCGTGCCCTAGATCAATATGGAAATCAGAAGTTTGAAATCGTCTCCACAGATGCAGAGTGGGGAAGGATAAAAGTAGCCAGAGCTTTTTGTCTGTTGCTGTTCTCTTCCAATCTGCAGGTGAAGAGGTTTATCAACAAAATACAGGAAGTTGAGCCATTAAAATGCAGCGTCTAATATATATTTTTTTGTCCGCTAAAAAAGTATAATTTCCAAATTGAAATTCTTTTGTTGTAGTTTGGCCTGAATTAGTTCCAGAGCTCAATCTTTTGTCAATCTTTGGCGTGTAAACAAAAAAAAACGATACGCATGACTATTATGTTTCCAGCCAAAGAATATGGAGGCTTTTTTTAGTCCAGAGTCAAACTTCATTGTCTGTACAGAAAATAATTTGTATTATCTCTTTTCAAGCGTGCAGCTTCGCCATCTTCTCTTCCTGTTTATACTCACCGCGCTGTAGAGCGTTTGTATGCAGGCTTGTGGTGTTAGTGCAGTTATACCGCCACCTACTGGCCTTGAATACTACAAAGTCTTAAATAGTTTTTTCTGATCCGTGTGCATGAGTTTCATTTTCACGTAAATCTGTCCTCTGCTGTCTCTGTGAGAGCAAAACGTTACTAGTGAATAAGTGTCGGGCTACATGTAGGAGATACGGTTTAAATTATTGTCACATTATTAATAAAATATATTCTCCGATATTAATAAATACAGCAAATGTAAAGCAATGAATTGTGTTCCACTGCTGTAAATTACATAAGACTAAACTCTTAACTAGTGTGAAACAAAACTTGATAATTGTCTTTGATAGTTTCAGCTCCGAACGATTCCTAAAATAACATTATAAGATCTTATCACAAGTAAAGCGTCATCAGGTGTGCTGATAGTTATTTAAAATGTCTAAATATAAAAAGCAAATGTAAATGATTATGTTGTTTATGATTCAGTGTGAAACTGAGAATTAATCTCCACTCGAAGAAAGAACCCACGCACACATATCTGGCAGCGTTTAATAATCCAGTTTATCTGACAGCAAGTTATAAAAAGTGCTTTACATTCTCCAAGGGCCGGCTAATATAATATCAATAAAATATATTTCTGAAATGAATATATATCACTATAAGACAGATATGCTTAATCATACATATAATAATCAACCTTTTAATTACTAATTCTGTTAGTCTTTAAATACAAATAAAACAAGCTATAATATCATCATATGATGACATTATAATAAATCAATAATATTGATTAATTGCCCAGCCCTGTTTTCCTTTCAGTGATTAAAAACCAATGATCATTATGTCCTCAGAAATAAATCAATACAACACATTTAAAAACCCTGAAAATCCTCCAGCAGTCGAGTCAAACAGAAAGAAAAGAGGGTTTATTAAATATTTATAATATTTAATAATGTTCAAATTGCAAATGTGAACTTTTCAAACTTAAAAAAATCTGATTTATTTTCTTTTAACATCACAAATTTCATCATTTAATGCATTTTAAAAATAAAAAATGGGGCGTTCAGGCCTTGTATTCAGACTTTTCTCTTAAACTTATTAAGTTTAAACATTTTATCACCAAATTTATGAAATAATGTGACTTTTAGTGTGTTTCTCATATTAGAAATAAACAATTTAAAAGCAGAAGTTACAGGTAAAGTCTGAATACAGCAGCTTATAATCAGTTACAGCTACAAATATCTCAATATTACACAGGATAAAAATAGTTGACATACAGTAAATGTTCATTATCATCATTAAAAAAGAGTATTACATCAATATTTACATACAGCAATATGTGTAACTTTTTAAATAAACAGCTTATATAGAGCAGTGAGTGAGAACGTAGGTATAATAGAAAAAATAGATGGCTCTTTCCTTCCCTGTGATCAGTCCGTTTTATTGATGATAGCTAGCAGGCTTTCACCACTAGCTAACATCAGGTTTTAATAACCACCAATGACCTGAGATCAACCCGTAATAAAAATCATTAACCACATTAATTAATGGAAATATGTTAAAATTTATCTGAGTCCAAATGCTACGTTGGATTTTAAAAAGTCACAAATTTAACAATATATTAATTATCTAATTTAAAAAGTTTGCCTGTAATTCCAGCAAACATATAAAGTTTTAATTAAAGTTTAATGCTTCAGTTTGTTTTTATTGAGTTTATGGACGTTTAACATAAGTCAAGAATGTCTGATATCATTTACGTGTTTTCTTTATACAATCTTCTTTGTTTTTTTCTGAGTGTCAAACGTTGTTTTCTCAGATAGTTTGAATAATTAACGCAGTAAAGTCTCTCCTGTTGATCGTCTGTTCAGCGTCCGTTGTAGATGAAATCTGAGGAGGAAAATAAAGTTTCAGTCATGATTTATTAGATTATTAATGCTGTTTTAATAAACCCAAAGAAAGACTCACAGAAATATGTTTTATTATTAGACTTTAAGACCTATTTCCAGGGTAAAATAAAATACAGGAATTGGATTAAAATGACCAAATGTCCTAGAAATAACTTACGTAATGCAAATAAATAATACTACATGTTTGTAGTTTATCCTGTTGATTTTAATTTCATAAACTGTTGTTCATAGTTGTTCATAAAAATAAGCCGTTTATTTAACTTTGGCTGTTTACTATGAAACTTTAATCCAAATATCTGCATCTTTCTGGGAGTGAAATAAGAGCGTCTCCCTCCGCCCTGCAGCGTCGGTTCGAGTAAGCGCTCGTTCAGGTTTTGGTGGCTCACCGCGGCAGTACTCGGGGTTGAAGTTTTCATAGATGGGGTAGAGAGGATTCTCCTGTTCACTGCGATGTTTCCTGGCTCTCAGGACGTCCCGTACACACTGGTGCAGGAAGGCATACTGGCACTGCAACACACACAGGAAGTCAGTGTGAAATGTATAGAACTGTGATATGTATTCTTATTATTGGTCTGATATTTACGGCACTTTCAGCTGAGCTCGGTGCAGTTTTCACTGTTGTTTTGGGGCTCATTTGGAACAATATTTGCTGGCACTGAAGCCCTGGTTTAGTAAGACATTCTCTGGTGTTTCAACCTGGAATTTGACCAATAAATTCTGGTCTTTAAGTAGTAGTTAGACTGTAACTTTCTGGTCTTTAAGTAGTAGTTAGACTGTAACTTTCTGGTCTTTAAGTAGTAGTTAGACTGTAACTTTCTGGTCTTTAAGTAGTAGTTAGACTGTAACTTTCTGGTCTTTAAGCAGTAGTTAGACTGTAACTTTCTGGTCTTTAAGTAGTAGTTAGACTGTAACTTTCTGGTCTTTAAGTTGTAGTTATACTGTAACTTTATGGTGTTTTATCCCTGGTTTTCCCTTCGTTGCTCCATATCTGCTTTACTGTTAACATGTTACACGGTAGCCTTATCAAGCTGTTTGTGCTATCATTATTCTGTTGTTGTACCTCAGTCTGGACCATGTGCTGGCGGTGCAGGCGGAGGTCGAACACACAGCCGTACAGGTCTATGGTTCCTTTAGAGTCCAGCTGCTGCAGAACCCGATCCAAGGCCATGAACGTCCCTGTGCGGCCAACACCAGCACTAACAAACACAGTCAACAGAACAGATTTACTAAAAAAGCGTCTTAAATGATTATTAAATTAGTGAATGAACGGTCCCACGCGCTCGGGCCTACCTGCAGTGTATGACGGTGGCTCCGGTGCTGGGTGATCGGTCCACGTAGTCCCGGACCGTCCTCACGAACTGGATCAGGGACTGGGTGCTCTCTGGGACGCCATGATCGGGCCACACAGTGTAGTGGAAGTGACGCAGCACCCGAGGGTAACTGCGGCTGCTCTCCTGTCAGGATTCATCGATTTCGTATTATTATTATATATTGATTTTAAAACTATTGATTAGCTAGCAGGGAGCAGAGAAGGAGGTAAAAGTACCGAGGTGATCTTGAACTCTCTGATGGTCCACTCGGGCAGGACGGACTCTGACAGCATCTGAATGACCAGGTCACCGTAGTACAGAGGCTCTCTGTCTGCAGGCCAGTACTGATCACACTTCACCTGTAACACACATTATATATATAATGAAACTAGTTAGAATCTGATAATGTAACATACAAAATAGTGAAATATATTGAGTTTATTCAGGTTAAAGTTACAATAAAGGAAAAAAATGCAGGTTTCTCTGATTCAAATATTAGTGAACTGAATATTTTGGAGTTTTGGACACAATAGGATGCATGAAGACGTTACCTTGGACTCTTTATGGCCATTTTTCACGAAAATGTAATACACAATTAGATATCACAAACAATTAATTAAAAGAATCTTTAGTAGCAGTCTGAATGTGTTTTATATGTTCTGTTATTCAGTTTCTTCTCAATTCAGTGAATTCTTGTGAGCGTAACAATTATTTTCATTATCGATTAACCTGTCGTTCATTTTCATTGATTAACTTGTTTAATCCTTAAAATGTCAGAAAATTGTGAAAAACGTTCCCAATGGGACGTCCTCAAATGTCTTGTTTTGTCCACAACTCAAAGAAATTCAGTTTACTGTCAGAGGACTTAACAAAAGCAGAAAATATTCACTTTTGAGAAGCTGAAATCTGACATTTTTCTTAAATAACTCAAACATTATCAAAATTGTTGGCGATTAATTCATTTTATGAGAAGTGACATAAAAGTTGAACATTTTATGTTTTATTACTATTATTATTATCATACAATTTAATAAATGTTCTGTTCCTTCATTACCTTCTTGCCTGTGGAAACGGTCACTATAACTAACAGGATCCATCCTCAGTGCGCCATGAATAGAATTTACTCTTGACTGAAGTGTTGAATGGACCAAATTAACAAAACAAGAAGACCCAAAATGACCGTCGGTAACTCACCCGTCCCTTCTCCACACACTGTGTCACCATGACAACGTTGTAGACGCCGTGCTCCCACACCATCCGCCAGAAATCATCCTTGGTGCCGGGCAGCGGGCCCTGGGTGGCGATGTACTCCCTGCGGTAGTTGTTACCCTGCACACGCACATAGGAGAGAGGTGTTAGTGTAAGTGTGTATTACGTGTGTGTGTGTGTGTGTGTGTGTGTGTGTGTAAGTGTGTATTATGTGTGTGTGTGTAGTGTGTGTGTGTGTGTGTGTGTACGCACTGGTACATAGCTGGCGTTGATGTAGTCGGAGCAGGGGTCGTCCTCCAGGTACGACATCTTCACTCTGGTAGAATCATCTGGAAAAAGAGACGTTGGTTATCCACTCTGTCAGATACAGTAGCTGCTGGTTTTTGGGGGGTTTTAGGGTTCAGGTTACAATGTGAGCTTGGTTGGGGTCTAAAGTAAGATAAATAAACAATAGCCCGACAAGTGCACTGACTGTGGGGCAGATGTCAGATTCATCAGACCCTCAGATTCAACCAATCCCTGTGAACTCGTTGTTCAATCTGACCAATCATTGTAGTTTTCAGTACGAACCATTGACACAGTCTGATATAAATCTCACTGGAACTAATTTTGTTTGATTTTTAATGAATTATACAAAAAACAGAAGTAATATTTGCAACTATTGTTTTAAATTTCCACATTGTTCCACAATTTAATAGTAAAAAAACTAGAAATGGCTGCTGTGAAATCAGGTATTTTAGGCCCAACAATCCCCCCAACCTGTGTTTCTTGGTGCTTTATTGAACTATTTACATTCTACTTTAAACTCCTATTAAAAGGTCAATGGCACTGTTTGTTTCTTTCTCTGTTTTTAACCGTTTTATTGATTATCGGGCTCATAGTTGCTGTCTGTTTAAAATCCTCACTGACACCTTCACAACTCTAATAAAATGCATTTTATGTATTATTTCTACATGTTATAATCCACCATGAATACTGACTGTGACAGTCCACTGAAATATTCCTGGTTATCTTCAAAGATCTTCAGTTTGCGATAATAAACAGTTTAATCCTCCAGTTTACTGACTGAAACACGTCGACTGCTACAAAACTAACGACACTGCTTACTTCAGTCTGAATGACACCGACTTTCATCACATTTAACAGCTTTTATTATTGTAAGTGAGACTATTTGTTAAAATATTAAACGCTGTGACTCACACAGACTGAAGAGAGAGAAACAACCATGATTCATTTTACTATGAGTGTGTGTGTGTGTGTGTGTGTGTATGTGCAGCTGCTGTTGTTAATGGATCACCTCGAGCCACAAATCATATTTCTCTGTTCGTATAGAAAATTGGCTGCAGTTACACATGAGTGACACTTAATTACTTTATTTAAATGATACTGAAACATACACAACTCTAAATATAACGATATCAGCTGCAAACATACACACATTTATATTAATAACTTCAGTAAAGATCATGGAAATATTAAACTAATGAAGGAAATAAAGAGAATATATTCATGTTATTTGTTTGGATATTGTTTTGGGGAAATAGAGAAGAAAGACATTTAGAATATTTAGTCATAAAAACTAAGATGGAGTTCTCACATCATTCACAGGAGGTTATGCTAGCTGTCTCAAACCCTTTGCTCAGTGTGTTTATATTGTGGCGCAGTGGTTCTGACTTTAGACGCTCACAGAAACTTTCACAAACATGAATGTGCTTCTAGTGACTGTAAAAGCTCCAGCACAGACACCGAGAGTCTGACATCAGCTGCTCGTGGCTCGTTAGCTCTGTTAGCTCTGTTAGCTCTGCAACCAGCTCGCCGTTCCTGCTATACTGTTGTGGTCGGTGTTGAGGCCACGCCCCCTAAAGTCACTGTCTCTGATGCAGTTTTTTAAGATAGCAGAACTGAAGGCTGCAGTTACACTTTAAAAACCTCCAGAAAAATAAAGTTATGTGGACACACGCACCTAAACAAAACATAAAGTAAACTGCTCTTATATCTTGGGGGTTTGGACTGTTGATCGACCACAACAAGACATTTTAACAACGTAACCCTGGGCAACTAACTGGCAGATTATCAATCACACCGCCATTTTAAAAGAAGAGAAAATGTGGAGAGAACAGACTCAGTGAGGAGGACAAAGATATTCAGTGTAACTACATGTTCTTTAAACTCTGCTGCAGCATGATCCATCATCTGCATGTTATTAATGTTTTTATTAACTCCAGCCTCGACCCACAGGCTGGTACATCACCGTCGCCATGGGAACAGGTGCTGTCTTGTTAATTAAAGCTCTTAACGATGTCATCATTGTAATGATTTTCACATTGATTGGTTTATTTTGTTCTCACCATGCACTCGATAACTTTGTTTTACATTATAAATGTGTTTGAAAGCTCCTTTTACATCGAGTTCGATATAAATACAATTTACTTTACGTTAATGGTTTTTGTTTTAATTTGCTGCAGCAGAGAGAATTACATTTAATTTACTCTCACACACACACACACACACACACACACACACACACACACACTCATGCAGCAGTACTTACATGGCAGGATGTTGTTGTAGCGGTTCTTTCCTCGGTTCTCTGGCAGACGGGCGACGTCCATCGTCTGGTTGCGGCCCACATCCTTCAGATCCTGCGTGGAAACAAGATGATTCATTAACAGTCTGTTTTAATTGTGTAAATTAAGGATTTATTTCCACCAAACCAGAGTTGGTGATTGTTGGAAACACTAACAGAGACGCTTTTAATGAGTTTGATTCTGTTTCTGTTCACTTTGAATGAAGTTACGATGATCTGAAGGTAAAATGAGTGTTTGTGTCTCTGGAGTCTGGTGGAGAGTGATAGTGATATTACGGCTGTTTGTGGTTAAACTAAAGGTCTATCTCTGTAGGGATCCTTTCCATAATACTGTCAGACACTGACAAGGATTAACTTGTTTTACATGGTCATTGCATTTTGCAGCTATTTTCTAAATCTGTGAATTAAGGATTTATTTAATCCAAACCAGTGGTTGCAAAGACTAACAAAGACAGTTTAATGAGTCTTATTTTGTTTTTATCCAGTCTGACATGTTTTTATTTACGATGATCTGAAGGTAAAATGACTGGTTTTGTCTCTGGAGTCTGGTAGACCGTACTCACATTGTTTTAGTTTGAGATTCTGGTGCTCTAGTGCGACATCTAGTGGCAGTAAACACTGTATATATAATCATTAAACTCTTACCTCAAACTCCTCAGACAGCAGGTAGTTGGAGTCGGCCTGCAGTTTGTTCAGATGGGACTCAAAGTGGCAGGCTTTGATGGGACTGCAGACACACAGATATTATATATGAAAGCACTTTTCAAACATTTACAGGAATTAGCAGCAATGTGGAGAAACTATCCAATCTAACTATAAATCAATTTAACGTAAGAGATTCTCACCTGGTCACCCGACGATTGCTGCAACAGGAAGGAAAAGAACAGTTTATATTCAGTAGTTATAATACAGGAAGTAAAAACTATTTTAAATGAAATTATAATGCAACTTGTACTGGATATTTGTTTTTATTTTATTTTACCAGGAAGACTCATTAAGATACAAAATCTCTTGACCTGCTTATATTAGCAGCCATTAATTATAATCAATATGTGAGATATAATTAAGGTTCATATAAATAAATAAATAAATAGTTAAAAAAGCTGATAATAACCTCAGATATTTAATGAACTCGTTTTTACAACACTCATTAAATGTTTTCTTTTTTCAAGTTCTTTAATAATTGTTTCTGAAATGATATAAACCTTGTAATTATTTTTTATTATTATTTTCAAAAATAAAAGAGTGGATTTTTACATTTAATTTTTAAATAATTTCAAAGTGTAATTATAAAAAGTATAGTTATTCAAATTTACGTTGATACAATATCAATGAGTTTATAAAACAGATCATCAGCAGATATACACAAGTTTTATTTGTGAAATCTGTTAAATCTGTATCTTTGTTCTATTTGTTTTAGAAAATTAAATAAAACGTATTAGTTACATTTCGAAGCAGATTTTAAGATATCAATATTTGTGTTTACAAGATAATATATCGTCACATTTTATTTGTGCAAACCTTTATATTTAACTTTATTTCTATTCATTGTGTTTTAAATCTAAATAATAAAACTTATAATTGGTAGTTTAGAAGCAGATTTTCTGACTGTGCAGTCTCAGAACAACAATAACTATCAGCTGTTTCAGAGTCTTATGAAGCTTTATTTCCACTGTTTGTCAAACTGACACTTAATGAGCTGAACACACACACACACACACACACACACACACACACACACACACACAGAGGGAGTAATGAACAGATGCTGTGGACTGTGGTGGGTGAGGGATGAGGGAGCACTTTATTGGAAACTTCACACACTCACATATTGGACGTAGGAGGTATTGGAAACTAATCTCTCTCTCACATACTGAGGAAGAATAATTAAAACACACACACACACACACACACACACACACACACACGAACACACTCTTACCTCCTGACACCCATATATAATCCTGAAGCTGGAACCTCCTTCCACATACTCATCCTCACCACCGGGTTCTCCTGCACAGCCCTGCACACACACACACACACACACACACACACACACACACACACACACACACATACACACACATATTAGAAAATATCTTCACCAAACAACTGAAGATTTTAAGACCAAAATATGAATCAATAAATAGAATATTGGTTAGTTGCGGTTCTATCCTTGGAAAATTAAATTTCCCAAACTGTTCCTGTGAGATCTGGTTTCAAGAAATTGATTAAAACGACCAAATTCAATTTTATTTGTATAGCGCCAATTCAAATGTCCTGGAAATGTTTGGATTTTAGCTTCTGACTCAGATCACTTAAACCTGGGTTAAACCTTAATCGAGTCTTAAAGTCTTTCTTTGAGATACAGAAACAAAGAAGAAAAGTCAATAAGAATCAGTTTTATGTAAATGAGTTCAAATGTTCATTACTTTAATCAATGAACATTAATTACATCTTTAATTACATTTTTTATTTTTATAAATTATTTGATGTTTGTTGACAAATGTCAGGTTACATCCATCTTAACCTGCAACTTATTTAATAGCATCAATAGCACACTTAAATGTAATTTAATTTAAACTTACACAAAAAAACTTATATAAATATTATCAAATATTATATTTGGGTTGAAAGAAAATGGAGTGAAGTGAAATTGTTTTCAGGATAGTCATTTTATTTCTGTGGCAAATGTTCGTTCTATAACATCACTCTGTGTGATAAATACATGCACAGTGATGTTAACTGTACGTACAGTTCTGGGCTGTTGCCAAATTAACTCATTAATTTGCATTTTATGACCGTTTGTAAGCACGTGCTGAGTGGGAACCCTAAAGGAGTTCAGATTAAGAGAATTAGATTAAGATTAGGGGTTAAATCGTGTCAATCTGTGTTTCTGTGTACTCACACTTTGCGTAGCCTCTGTCTGTAGACCAGCAGGGAGACGACGGCCACCATCATACCGATCAGGAACATCCCGGCACTCAGACCCTCCACCACGCCCCCTAAAGGCTCTGACACACAACAACACTGTATGTGAGCAGCCGTTGCAATGCATTCTGGTAGAGGTCTACATAGAGAGAGAGGTGTGTGTGTGTGTGTGTGTGTGTGTGTGTGTGTGTGTGTGTGTGTGTCACTCACCTGCGTGCGTCCTGAGCGGTGAGGACAGGTAAGTGTCGGTGAAGAGTGGCTGAGGAAACTCTCTTTGGTTTTCATCAAACAGTCTGGTGAACGCTCGCACACTCAGCCTGAACACACACACAATCAATCAATTGATCAATCATATTTTGACTCCAGTAGGGTGTGTGTGTGTGTGTGTGTGTCTGTGTGTGTGTGTGTGTGTGTCTCGTACCTGTAGGAGGTTTTGGCTTTCAGCGGCCCGTCACAGAAGCCGCCGTAGCTGTCGCTCAGGTAGAGGTCGTCGTCATGGTAACGATCACAGCCCCCGCCCAGCCGGTCCCCTCCGGCCCCGAGGTTCACCTCCACCACCTGATCAATTATTGATCGAGTCTGAAAGTCTTTCTTTGATTTTTATTGTCTTTTTTTTGTCTATTGTTTGTTTGTGAATATGAATTAATATCTTGCATTACATACTTTATTTTGAAAAAGATGTTTGTTGACAAATGTCAGATTATACCCATCTTAACCTACAACTTACTTAATAGCATCTTATAGCACATTTAAATGTAATTTAATTTGTATAGAAATGTGTGAAGGTACACAAATGAATCGTCATTAAGAGGTCAGTATCTGTCGTTACCTGTCCGGCGGAGGAGTCGGCGTCCTGCGGGCAGCGGCTGGGGAAGTAGGCGGTCTGATACACTCTGACGGAGGAGTTGCTGATGTAGTCGCGGTAGGAGGGCAGCGGGTGGCGCTGCTCCGGCTGCAGGATCTCATTGGCTGTCAGAAGGAATACGAACAGTCAGAGGATCTGAGGGTGTTTCAGCTCTGAGCTACGACAAACATCACGAAGGCTGCCAGCGTTTCTTCCTTTGGGCTACCTTTTTATTATTTAGACGGGTAAAAAAATGTTTTTGGAGGTTTGTGAGACCTTAACTTACATCCTACTTCCTCAGCTCATTACTGATGATTACTCGCTCTTTGTTAGTGAGACTAAAGGGTTAAAAAGGTAAAAACAACTTCCTGCTCTCAGGAGAAATTGTTGTAATTCAGTCTCAGAAGGTACAGGTAGCCTCTCAGTGGGCCATGAATGTCAGTAATGATGTACAGTAAATAACCTCTGTGTGTGTGTGTGTGTGTTCGTACCATCAGACTCGGCCACGGCGACGGTGAAGTATCTGACGGCTCCGTTGGCGTCGCTGAACCAGGAGCAGTTGAAGCGGAATAAGATGGAGGACGACGTGACCTTCGACGACTTCTCACTGACACGTACGCTGATGGGCGGGACCGGAGGGCCTGAAAGGAAACAGACACACGACTTAAATAAAACAGCATAAAGTTTATTTTATTTGTTGTTTTTTATATATTTATTTTCTTTCTGACTCCTAAACTTTATTTTATTATCATAACTTTATATATTTATTTATTATAGACAGTTGGTCACATCAACAAAAACAGTAAATTAATTTTGACATGTCAAGATTTATAAAGAAATCTCATAATTCTGACTTTATTTTGAATTATGAGATAATTGTTTATTCATTATCATAATTTGTACATGTGAATTTTCACAGTTTTTAAAATAATGACAATAAATAAGATGAAAGTCTCCACTCTCTCTCTGTTTATTCCTCTTTTTCTTCCTTTGCTCTCTCGGCTGTTTTTAGGTGAACTGCCGCTAATAAAAAAAAAAAAAACTTCTTTAGGATTTTTTGTTCTGTCTTTTTCTGTTTCTGTCTCCCAGTCCAGTTGTGTCAGGATGATTTATAATGCAACACCGGCAGAGAGAGAGAGAGCGAGTGAGAGCGCTGAGGACAGACGGACGTGAGCTCAGTGGAACAAAGAAAGAAAAAGGTTGTAAAGAAGTTTTCAGACCGAGTTCTGGGTCACAGTGACTTTTTGAAATAAGCAGCAGGGGACACGTCAAGATTGAGAGACACAGAAAGTGTGTGTGTTAGTTCAGACTGCTGTTCACCTTCATACACACTACAGAAAGTTCCTCTTTATAATGTAAACACACTGTAAGTCAGAAAGCTTTCTGTTGTTCTGATATTACTGAAGTTTATACAGTAGTTAATGTTTATGGCAGGTTCTAGTTGTTAATACTTTGTTTTAGAGTGCTGATGATAAAGCAGTTCAGTGCAGCACGGTGCTAATATATGTATATATGTAATATAGATTTGGATCGATAGTCTTTGACCGTGCTACAAGTATTTCCTTTTCTTATTATTATAAAACTGATCTTGTAGGTTTTTTAAAGAATATGATCAATCTGATCCAGATAACACAAGATCAGTATTACAGAATCTAGATTTGCAGTCTTTGGATAGTCAAAGTAACACAAAACAACATTTCATTAACACATCATGTGAAAAAGTTTGCACTTATCTGCATTGTTGTTTAAAAATGTTTAGTTTTTATTAGTTTTAGTCTTTTTTTAATATGGGAGATATTTGTCAGTGGCAAGATTTAAGAGAATTTAACCAAATTATTATTTTAGTTTAGTTTGTAAGCCCACAATATTGTCACAGCTAGTTTCTAAAGTCCAGTTTTTTTATTTCAGCTCACTAAAAAGTCTGAATTTGTACTTTATTTTTAGTGAATTATTATAACCTCGGTCTGTAGATCCACCTAGAGATTTGAAATAAAACCAAAACAACATTTGATTGGATTACTAAATCCGTATCCCAGTTTGTCGGATCACATCTGCTGTTTTGAAAAAAAACCAAATCTGAGAGTGAATCCCTGTAGTTTGTTTCTCCACACTGAACCAGATACAAACCCGGTGTCTCCATTAGTCACACTGACACAGAAACATGGGAAATACAGAAGTTACCCGTTAAGAAGAAACTTAATGATGAATTTATGAATTCTCTGTGTGTCTCCCAGGTGAGGAGTCCTATTTAAACAGTTTTATTTAAACACCAGACTCAACTACAGCACCAGAGGGGAGAGAGTGTGTGTGTGTGTGTGTGTGTGTGTGTGTGTGTGTGTGTGTGTGTTTGCGTGCTCACGGTCTATCATGGTGACGGTTGTGTGTGTCGTCGGTGGACTCGTCTGTCCGGCTGACGACACTCTGACCATCACAGAGTACTTCCTGTACGCCTCCAGGTGGTCCAGCGTTACCGCGGTGACGCCCCCGGCTAGCCGCAGCGCCGAGGTCAGCTCCCCGTCGTCGTGGCGACGACACTCGACCTCGTAGGAGTCAAAGTCGGATTGAGGGTGCGACCAGGAGCAGGAGAGGGAGGAGGACGAGACAGGGAAGCAGTGGATGGACTTCAGTGGAGAGGGACCTGGAGGAGGAGAGGGGAGGAGACAAAGAGGGAGGAAACGAGGGGAGAAGGAAAGGAGAAAGGAGGTAACAAAAGGAGAGGTGAGGAGAAGATAGAAGAGGAGCATTAGTCCAATAATATTCTCTTTCTGCTCCTCTGACATTGAACCCGTTTTTTGGGGTTTTTTTTGCTGAGTCACAGTTTGTATTTATTTGTATTTTCACAGGAAACAAATTATTTATACAAACTACTAAACGGTTTGTTTGTTTGTCCTGATGAGACGATAAAAGGTGATGAATGTGAGAGAGGACAGAAAGAGGAGAAACACCATAAAACCAGACCTCAGGACACATTATCCTCTAATCTCTTAAAGGTCCAGTGTGTAACTGTTTCCTTCAGGGACATTTTCTATCTTTTATTAAACTGACTCAGCAACATATTTTATGGATATTTCATATTATATTCAAACCGTGAACTCAGTAACTGCAGGAAGTTTGTGTAAAACCAGAGATTTGGATGAATTTTGAGAAGATTATACGTATTCATTATTTTTATACATTTATCTGTCTGTATTATGTATTATCTATTTAACAATCATACAGACAGTAAAAAGCTGTCTTCTGGTCCCTGACATTTCTCCATTGTTCTATTAGACATTTTACTTTATATTTAAGTTTTCTTACAGGCCTTAAAATCAAGAAGGCCTCGCGACCCCCAGTGGAGGTGCCGACCCTCAGGTTGGGAACCACTGCTGTAGAGGACTAATTTATGAAATCCTCTCATCCCAACAAGTTAGTGTGAATCCACCAGAATAAAAGCCTCTGACTGTGTGCCGACCTCAGCTGAAAGAAATTAGAAACTGGGTCACTACATGTATTTATAATGTGACTATTTTAATATTCCTTCAGGCGATCAGTTTTGATCCCTTCAGCCAAAATGTGACAGACCAACAGGAAGTGATTAAAAATGGATGAAAAGCAGTGACATGTTCTCCTTTTACATTCAGGGCCTTTGTTGTGTCTCCATCTGGTGGTCAGAAAGAGAAACACCATCAAGTCTGCTCACAAAGTAAAGACTGAGGTTATTATGAGAGCAATGTCGCTGTTTTACCACAAAGTAGAAATTATGAAGATGTGTTGTAGTTCAAAGTTCAATTATTATCTTTAGGTCCAAAAGTCCTCTTGTGTGGTGATCTCTGCTTCATTTAAAAATGAATACTACATTTAGCATATATATATAATTTCTAAGAGTGAGACGAGAATATTGATACCAATGTCTGTACGGAGATGGAGTCAGGTGATTAACATAGCTTAGCATAAAGACTGGAAGTGGAAGGAAACTGCTAGCTCTTTGTCAGAAGTTCAAAATGTAGTTTCAGATTTTGACCTCATGGACTTTAAAAATCTGGAATTTGACTTTTTTCCACCTACTTGTCCTGACGCTCCTCTGGATTGGCTGGCTTATGACTGTGGGCCCGCCTCTAGCCCCGCCCCCGCTGATGGTCGCCACGGTGAAGTTGTACCGTCGTCCCGGAAACATCCCGGCCAGGATGCGGCTGGTCAGGTGAGTCTGCGTGACCGACAGGCGGTCTGGAGGCGTCCACTGCAGGCTGAAGCTGTCGTAGTCCCCGGAGGCGGGGCCAGACCACGACAGCTCTATCGTGTCATTGGTCGGGCCTTGTTTGACGGACAGGTGGGTGGGCAGCTCTGGAGCTGGAGGGGGGAAAGTGAACAAAACAATATTAACAATTAGTATTAATGCTATTAATCTGATCTGTATGTTTGTGTCTGTTCTGGACTTACCGGTGCGTCCGAACGCTGAGATGTTATTGGTCAGTTCCCCGCTGTGTGTGATGACCTCAGCGCGGTACAGCCTACCAGGGACCAGCCCAGAGAACATGTGACTCGTGTACTTGGCCCCGAGCGTTTGTGCTCCCAGAGTGGCTCCAGAAACATCGTACAATACCACCTTAAATCACACGAAAACGACAAGTTATAAAGCTGCAGTGAAACTGGAACTAAAAATCCCATCGTTTTACATTTTAGAGCTATTCTGTTATTTTCTGCAACTTTTCCAGATTATTATCACGGATTATGTAAAAATGGGAATACATTTAAATTTCTAAGCATCTTATTTAGCCTATTTAAAGAATTGCTGAACTGAACTACTTAAAATTGTCTGTTCACCTGATAGCTGCTCCAGCTTCCCTCTCCGTGCTGCCAGCTGACCGTCAGTCTGTCCGTCCGTCCTTCACTCTGGACCTGAAGAGACGAAACCGAGGGCGGGACTGCAGAGACGAAAAGAAAAGATGAGTATAGTGACGGTGAGGAAGGAAAACAAAGGGGTAGTAATCACAAAGGCAAAGAATAAAACAAAGAAAGCAAATGCAATGGAAATTGAAGAGCAGATGAAGTGTGGAAAGACGAACGGGGAAGGAACAGAAAATTAACAAGAGGAAGAACAAAAAGAAGAAAATGGAGAAAACAAAGTTGAAGATGAAAAGGATCAATAGGAAAAGACAGAATCCAACCATCAGTATTTATGTCGTCAATAATAATAATAATAATAATAACAACAGTAATGTGTTGACTGACCCGTTCTGGCCAGTACAGATGAGTCGCTGTTCATTCCTCTGCTCCAGCTCACCACCTGCAGTCTGTACAGACTTCCTGCTCGCAGTCCGGAGAACACACATCTGTCTGCAGCTGGACCGACCTTCTGCAGGTCCACCAGCTCCCCCGCAGTCTACAGCACAGAGCACATCATACATAAGCACTATATATTGTGTGTTAATATCTAAATATAAAGTCAAACATCTATTCTTAATCCCACCTGGTGATGCTCCTTCCTGCTCCCTGCCGCGTCCTGTTTGTGATTGGCTGTTGCCTCGGCGACGCTGTAAAGCGACAGGTCGTAGATTTCGACGTGGCCGTCCGAGGGTCGCCAGGAGAAGGAGAGAGAGGAGGTGTTGGCCGAGGTGACGGTTAGATTGCTGACTGCTGCCGGACCTGCACAACAAACACAGACTGTTCAGCTCGGTGTCGTGAGATATAACAAAAGTAATTAATACCTAAAAATAATGCCTTAGAATCTGACATAAGAACATTAAACAGAAAAACTATAATACAGTTTTAGAAAATAGAAGAGAAACAGTGAAAAAATTTAAATATAACTCACGTGTTTGTCCCTCTGCTGTGGCCTCCAGTGACGGGACGCCGCCGCTGAGCGTCACCACCCTCACGCGGTACCACTTTCCTGACGTCAGACCCTCCAGACGCTCGCTTCGGCTCACCATAGTAACCGACCGATTTGCCAGAACGACGCCGGCCTCGTCCAATAACTGCAGGCTGTAGCCGTCGTACACGCCCACTGGCCGTTCCCAGCTAACGGTCAGACTGTGAGTGGTGTGGTCGTTATCTGCCTGCAGGGCTGTGACTCTGGCTGGAGCTGGAGGTGGTGAACACAATAATCAATATCAATTAATATTCATAACTAAATTTAAATTAATTGAATCAATCTTCCATTGTCTTACCGGTCCTGCCAGTGGCTGTGTTGGTATTGAACAGCTTCCCGCTCAGTGACTGGACAGTCAAGGTGTAGGCGTTACCTGGAATCAGATCCAGGAAGTCCAGGGAGGTGACGTGTTTAGGGACAGGGCGAGTCTCAATGATGGCGCCATCCTTGAATCAGGAAGTGACAAAAGAATATTAAACCCATCACCTATAAATGTATCTTTTGTCCTCCATCGTTCATCCATCAAACAATTATTCTGTTTATCCATCATTGGTTCTTTATTTACATTCACATTTGACCACTGTGGTGTACCCCAAGGATCCATTTTAGGCCCTATTTTATTTGCACTGTATAGCATTATCCTTCCACAGGCCTCTATTTTTAGAAAACACAACATTTCTTATCAAAGCTACGCCGTTACGCAGATGACACACAGCTTTATTTCATTTTAAAGTTGGGTGATTCACATTATCTTCAATCTCTTTTACGTTGTCTCACTGATGCAAATGCTGTAAAACTGCAGTTTTAATGATGAATTTGATGTAGACACTGTCTTTAACCAAGCTGATAAAGTTTCTCCTCACTCAGCAACTCTCAAAATTTTGCCGAATTTTTTAATAAATACAGAATTTATTATTTCAGTATGAACCTAAAATATGCAGTTGGACCCACCCTGGTGGACAGAGAGACGATGTACATGTCCAGGTCTCCGTGTCCAGACGTCCAGGAGACCAAAAGTCCAGCAGCAGAGTCGGTCAGGCCCGGCCGAGGAGCCAGGCGGAGGTTCCCCACTGAGCTGGGAACTGGAGAGGAAAGTCTGGCTTCAGAAAAACTGGACTTGAGATGTTTAAAATAAAGTTGTCTAAAGCGATTGTCTCACCTGTCCGTCCCTCGATGAACTGCGCTCTCTGGTTCGGTCCGCTGAACGTCGACACCACAATCTTATAAAGCCGCCCGGGGGTCAGAGAGGTCAGCTGGTGGCGCCGCGCCTCGCTGCCCAATGCGACAGGAGGGAAAACTCGAGTGTCGTTGAAGAGCAGAGTGACCTGGAGACGAGAGGTGTAAAGATTTAACAACTAAAACTAAACTAAAACATATGAGACATGACAAGGCAACAAAAACAATAACAGCAACTGGGGTAACAACATCAACAACAAAACAGTAAAAAAATAAAAAGAAACAAAGCCAGAAAAAGAGGTGTCATTATTAAATATCTCTGACTGCAAGTGAAAATTCAACATTATAATCGTGTTATTTTGTTCTGAAATACTCATTTTAAAACATTATCGTCCCGTTTCAGTCAAACTGTGATGGCAGTAGCTACGTTTGAAGTTCTGTAGGGGAACTGTGCGAGTCCCTGAATTTTCTACAACATGATCCTGCAAATGTTTCACAATAAAAGTCTTGTGTCCACTGAAACGCTAGAGGGCTTTTAATTTGAAACTGCTACAGGAAGTGTTGAGTTTGTATTAACATCATAACGCAGTAACAAACATTTTAACAGATCATATGAGCAAATACACTTATTGTATAATAATCTTATTGTACAAAAATACAAACACACACCTCATAGTGGTCCACATCTCCGGGGGCGGGGCTCCAGGTGACCGTCAGATCACCTGTTCCTGCGTTGCCTAGCGACAGATTGCCAACAGCTGCTGGAACTGAAGGAAAAAAAAACAAAAAAAACACATTGACTCAAAATAATCCGTAAAAGATCCAAACGACAAACACATATCGTGTCATATGTCAGATTTGTGTTCCTGGTTTCGGACTCACAGGTGCGTCCGTCGGTGGAGACGCTGCTGACATAGTCTCCGCTCCAGGTTTCCACGGTGACAGTGTACAGTCTCCCCGGCGTCAGAGATGAGAATACGCACTCGTTGTCTCCGGCGGAGACGCTCTTGTTCTGCAGCGTGCTGTGGTTGTAACGGATCAGAACCACGTAACGGTCCAGATTTCCAGCTGCGTGACGCCAGTACACCTGAACACACCACACAGGACAAATACTGCTGGTACTGCTCACAGTGCACAGAATAAATGTCCCAAACATACCACAGTGACACTGAAGAGTGCAGAGTAAAACCTCGATATACAATTTAAATGTAAGAAAAATTACACTTCTGACAAACCTTGAGGAAGTCGTCTCTGGCAGAGTGAACAGCTGTTGGGTTTTGAACAGTCGCCGGTTCTGCAAGAAGAAAATATACAAAAAAATACGGAGTATGTTTTTAAATACAATCTTATACAAAGACTACAAATCTTTTTTTTTTTTACGTTGTTTACGTGTTTTTCCCGTTTATTTTACAGATTTTTAAAATATTTTTAATCCATGGAAATAATAAATAGCCTGTAAAATTCACATAAAGAGAATTTACTGCTTATTTATTAGATTAAACTATTAAATTCAACTTTAATACTGTTCATGTAAAATGTAAAATTAGTGACATTAACAGTAAAAATAAGTATTTATTGTGTAATTGTACATGGATTTGTTTGTTACTGACAGATATCTTGTATAATTATTATATTGTATTTATCAGTGAAAACAGCATAAATTACTGTAATTTCACAGATAATGAGTTTTATTACAGTTCTATAACTTTTAAAATCCAGACTAAAATAAGAGAAATCAAATAATATAAAAATATAAAATATAATATAAAAATGAGCTGTTTTCTGTTATTTTCCCCTTTTATTATTTAATATCTAATATCTAATATTATTTATTTATTTTTTTTACAGTAAATTTAAATTTAAACACAAAAGAACATTAACATGAACGTCAGATATGACAGTACTCATCAACCCTACTTACGTGTTCGTGCTTGAATCGTGGTGGCGTTCTCCAGGCTGCCGCTCCTCGTCACTATGACGACCGAGTACAGTCGCCCAGCGACCAATGAGCTGAAGGAGCACTCGGGCAGCGAGGTGCGGGACACGGCCAGAGTGTGGATGGTTCGATTCCTGTCCTGAAGACGGACCCGGTAGCTGTCCACCACGCCCTCTGCTGGGCGCCACGTCACCTGCAGAGCGTCCGACCTGCCACCGTTTGCGACGGTTACCTCGGACACCGACGCCGGGGCTGAAAGGGAAAGAATTATATATTTATATAATAATTTAACTTTCTCTAAAAAAGATGACATCACCATCACAAAACAGGTGTTGAAGTACAAAGGTAGCCAACAGAGGGCGCTGTAAGCACTGAGGTAATTTAATTTACAGTTTACAGTTATTTACTGTTTATAACATGATTCCACATTTACAAACTCTAAAAATGAAAAACATAAAACCCCACATAACTTTATTTAAAATTCTTGTAGAGATTTGAAATATTTATACTAATATACTTTTCGGGATTTGGCAGATTTAATGTATAAATGTGTATAAAATGAGCGTGTTGCTGCTACAAAACAAATAAAAATCTGCTCAAATTTTATTTTATTTTGAAAAGATATATTTTTTGCTCTAATAAAAATGTTTAATTTTATGACGTTTTATTACTAAATACAGACAGACAACCATTAAAACTCACATTCACACGTCTTAAGCCAGCTTTTATGGATTATCGCTAATAACAGTTTTAAAGGAACATTTGGGGAAATTTGCTTTCAGATACAAACCTAAATTTTTTTATCTCATTATAGTTTTATCTATTTTACTATTTTTACGTGGTTGGTAAAGAGCTCAGAGCAGGCTAGCAGTTTCCCCCTGCTTCCAGTCTTTATGCTAAGCTAGGCTAACACACAAACACCAACACTTCCATCCGAACACAAAGAAAGAGACATTTCCCCGAAGCCGTACGCCTTTAATTCTGTTCTCTCGGCCAATGGGAGGTTATCTGAGGGGCTGGGGGTGGAGTTTAATTCAGTCTGAAAATAACTGGGACATTATGTGGGAACACAATAGCTGCTCTGGGCAGGAAGTGTGTGTGTGTGTGTGTGTGTGTGCGCGCCCTGGGAGTGTCTCATTTTTGGCATTTTAGCTCTATTGTTTTAAAAAGTCTCTGATGTTATCACATAATACACACACACACACACACACACACACACACACACACACTTTAAATGTCTGTAACGTTGTTTTTAAATAAAAGGTTTAACTAACGCAGCCTCGGCTCCACTTTTAAATAATAAAAGGAGGATTTGAGTTTGGTTGGTGTCGGCAACACTTTGGTTTATATTTCTATACATATACTTACATCTTATTTTCTGTTTATTGTAGTATAATGTACATATTTGTTACCTTACTCTTTATAAACTCTGATTATTGTCTCATTGCCTTCTCTGTCTCATGTTAAACACTCTGAATTGTTGTTGTGTTGTGAGACAAAGAAACTAACCTTGCCAAGTATTTTTTTGTTTTTAGGATGTGGTTATATATTTAATGACCTCCGTATTGTTTGTCAACACAGACGAGAACAAGGTCTGTAATTTCAATTATGAGGAGATTATGAAAACAATCTGTGATACAGTGTGAATGTCATTTATTGATTGTATGATTGTTATCTAATCTCTGCTGAGACAAAAACAGTTTTATGTATTTTTTATGAATATAATGTAAATAATTTCTGATAAAAAGCGCCGGAGAGTCGCGTCCTCTGTAAACTGTTTGTTAACATTCTTCTGCTGGTTGTTTTTCCTGTGAACAGCGGCTGTTTGAGCGGAAACAACTCCTGAACGGGAATATTGTCTCTAACACAATCAGAGTCTGACTGACCGCCTCACATCTTAAACAATAACTGCTGTCGCAGCTCAGCTGAACACAAACTCACAGTTACCGTATTTGAACTCTCGCAGTCACAAATATATGATAATATGTTTGAATCTTTCCATTAATACCACAATACAGAGACGGGATGAGATTGAACCTCTAAGTATCTTAATACTCTGATGTTTGGTGTACACTTATTTATTCTGTAATATTTATATTTATTATTTTGTTGGCATAAAAATTCTCAATTTTAAACACACTGAGTGTAAAAATATTGTAAAACAGCGTCTAAAATACGTTTTATCCACTACAGTTAAAAACCTGTTTTCATGCACTGATCAACAAGATTTTGTTGTTTCTGGTGGAGAGAAAATGGCCAAAATATATAATCCTGTTTGTATCTATTAGATTTAACCAAAAGTCAGCATTAGAAAGTGCCTCATTTGCATATTTAAACATAAACTTCCAGACAATAATTGTCTAACTACAAGTATCCAACTGGGGAAGTTTAATGGTGACATTAGTTTAAATGTTTATCCTGTTAACCTGTAGTGAATTTCACAATACATATCTCAGAAATCTCCAGTTCAGCAGCCCTTACAGACACCAAAGCTTCCAGTTTTATTCCTCTGTGTCTATGTAACTCATCATCTTATAGAAACTTCCTGAAAATAATGATGTAATTTGGTACAAACGTGTTCAGTTAGATCAACAGCTATACATGCAAACATGTGAAATGTGTCTTCAGACACACAATTGAACATAAAACATTCCAATAATAAATCAATAACAAACAAAAAATATTTTCCCACTTCAGAGGACCCTAAAAATAAAGCTTTACTCTAAGACGTCCTGCTGAAATAGTGTAAATATCAGTTTGGAGCGACTCACTGGTGCGTCCCTCCAGGTCGGTGCTGTCAGACTGCAGCCCCCCGCTGACAGTGACCACCTGCAGCCTGTAGAGGGCGCCAGGGGTCAACCCAGCCAGCAGCAGAGAAGAAGAGCCAACAGGGACGCTGTAGTTCTGAACAACAACACTGTGGAGGAGCAGAAACAGCACACGGACGTTTGGACTCCACATTACAGAGCAGGAAGGGAAATCTGTGCTTTTATTTTGAAGGTCTGCACGTTACAGTCAGCGAGCTTCCTGTACTGAACGCACACACACACACACACACACACACACACACACACACACACACACACACACACACACACCCGGACCCGGGTTCAGAAACCCACCTGTCCTGCAGCAGAGTCAGCGTGTACGAGTCCACGTCTCCTGGTGGTTTTTCCCATGATGCCCGGAGGCTGCTGACGCCAGAGCTTCTCAGACTGAAGGCTTGCATCGCCTTGGGAACTGCAACACACACAAACACACACACACACACACACACACACACACACACACACACACACACACACACACACACACACACACACACACACACACACACACACACTTTTGTTTATGCTCCACACTTGCTGCCATACAGGTAAACAATTAAAATAAATGAAAATGTGTTAAAAGGTTTTATTGATAATTATATTGTATATTGAGGATGCTAACACACACACACACACACACACACACACACACACACACACACACACACACACACACACACACACACACACACACACACACACCTGTCCGCCCGTCCACAGACACCGAGGCGTTCAGGTTCCTGCTCCTGGTTGTCACGGTGATGGTGTAAAGCCTCCCAGGTGTGAGCACATTGAAGGTGCACTCCCTCATGTTTGGCCCCACCTCCCTGGTATCCACGGTGACGTTTCCTGTGACATTCAGGAAGCAGCAGTTAGATTATTGACAAACCTTCCTCACGTGTAAACTCTGAGCGAGCGATGCAACTTGTTACCGTGGCGAAGCGTCAGGAAGTAGCCGTCCCGTGACCCAGAGGGGGCGTGGCTCCACATGGCGCTGAGGGAGGTGTCGTCCGAGTGTCGAATGTGGAGGTCCGCCACCGGGGCCGGGACTGCAGAGACAGCAACAATAATAATGTTTCTACAATAATATCATTTTCTGTTCTTTTGGTAATAACATGTTTAGTTATGTTTCTATAATTTCTGTCATAAACGTCTTCAGTAATGTGGATTTTCTGTTATATACACATTTAAATAAATACATTTATATATTTCTGTATTTTCATAATAAATTTCAGCAGCAATCAAATATTTTCTGTCGTATTTGGCAAATGTTATCTCTCATATTTCTGTAATTATATATATTTATACATACACACTATAGTATTTCTGTCATGTTTTTTGTTTCTGTATTTATATTTTATGTATGTCAGCTGCAATATATATCTTCTGTCATATATTGAAGTTATACATATTCTTTTACTGTATATTCCACTGTATTTTTATCATGTATTTATATAATTCACTATATATATATATATATATATATGTAATTTTTTTCCTGCAGTAACACATACAGTATATATTCTGTTGTATATTTCTGCCCTAATATATATATATATATATATATTTGGTCGTATATTTATTCAATAATTTAGTTTTTTCTGCCATATTTCTTTATATAATGTGTCTGTATATGTATATATTGTGTTGTTTATTTCATCAGTCACATATATTTTCTTTCATATATTTTTATATTTTATATTATATTACCTGTTGCTCCCTCACAGCTGCTCTCAGCCGTCAGTCCTCCACTCTCCACCCTCAGCACAGCTCTGTACAGCCTTCCAGGAGTTAGTCCCGTCCCGGGGAAGCTGAAGTTGGCAGCCTCTCGGTCCGGAGCGGCGCTGACTAACTGCTGGGAGCCGTCAAACAGGAACAGCTTGTAGCTCTCCCAGCGGCCAGCGGGGGGCGTCCAAGACAGGAGGAGGCCCCCGGAGGAGGAGGGCGACAGGGAGAGGAGGGACGCTGCCGCCGGAGCTACAGACGGGACAAAGAGGGGATGAAGTAACAGAGAGGAAAAGGAGAAAGAAAAGAACAGAACCAATCTCACCTGTCCTGACGGTGATTGCTGATTGGTTCGTCAGCTTCCCGCTCCTCGACGTCACCGCGACCTGATAGGCCGAGCCGGGAGTCAGCTGCTCAACTGCGACCTCTGTGGCATTCGGAGGAAGCGTCGCCTCCCAACGGCTTGTCCCATTGGTCGAGAGGGTGACGACGAGCGCGTCCAGGTCGCCTTCGGGCTGTTTCCATGACAACGACAAGCTTGTGCCGTTGTTGTAGCCGGCGGTGAGGTTGGAGGCCGCCGAGGGAACTGAAAAGAGATTCAGATTGAAGATTTCTGCTCTTCCTTATTTCCCTCCTGTCTTCTTCTCCTTCTCCTCTCTACCTGTCTGAGCCTCCGCCGTCTCGCTGTTCTGCAGCCCGCCAGCCTCCGTCACCATGGTAACGTTGTACAGTCGTCCCGGCGTCAGGTCGAGGAGTGTGTGTTGCGTCGCCGTGCTCTCTAACGTCTCGTTCCTCAGCAGACCTGCAGACACAGAGGAGTGATCAGGTGTCCAAATGTCAGATAACTCAGTCTTAAACATGACAACCATAATCCATAATCAATAATCAATAATCAATAATCCAGCTGTGATCAGTGACGGTACCTGCGTGATGCCACAGCTGCAGCCTGAAGCGCTCCGTCCGTCCTGGGCCCGCCTGCCAGGAAAGACCCAGGCTGCTGCTGGTCCTGGAGGTCACCGCCAGGCCGCTCACCGCTGACGGCCCTGATGACACACACACACACACACACACACACACACACACACACACACAAACACACACACACACACACACACACAAGTTTTATTTTATTTCCATTGTTTCTATCTGAGATGTCTGAGCGAGGAGCAGATGGATATCGGGTTCCTCTGTGTGACAGCAGCCTCTCTAGCACTGTCTCCTAAAAGCAGTGAGACAGTTCCTTTAACCTCGTATTGTCTTCCTGATTGCCATACACCTGGTCTGACTGTTATCTATAGCATAAAGAATAAATTATCACCTCTGTGTTTCAACTTAATTATTATAATATTAAACTCATTAACTGACATATATTCAACATTCATTTACAAAACGTGTAACTTAAAGCATCTGCCCCTTTTGAGTGATGGGCCAGGAGGGGCAGCTGGGTGAGGGGGGGGGGTTGGTAAAATGTGAAATGCCCCATATGACTCCCATAATTCAATCAAATGAATAAGAATGTATTGTACTGATGAAGAGCGTAGTATTGAACAACTCGTTATCTTCAGACCACTGAATGACCCCGAGGACAACAGGAGGGATTTATCTGCTGTGAGGTTCAGTGCGACGGCAGGAAGAGGATCCCCGGCCTCCATCTGTGGCCTTCAAAGCCATCAAAGTGTGAGCACAACACACACACACACACACACACACACACACACACACACACACACACACACACACACACACACACACACACACACACACACGAACAAACACTCCCCTGCCTCTCTTCAGGCCGTCCTCGTGTTCGTGAGCTTCCTGGTTTGTGTTTTTCCCACAATGCCTCTCTGTGTGTGTTTGTGCCGCCGCGTCGCCACTGGTGCTTCAAACTGAGGTCCAACAATATTATCAGGCTGCGACATCTCAGCCCCCCCCACCCCACCCGACCCCCCCGACCCCCTGAGTGCCACACTGAGACAAACACACAGTCCGACTGGTTCTGGATCCATCAGCGTACAACAGGACGTATTCAGACTTTACTTAAATAAAAGTGTTAAAGGTTGAGTGTTCAACTTTCAGGAGGATCTATCGGCAGAAATATAATAATAAATTGTTCTGCCTGATGAGACGTACTGCTAGCGGCTCCGCCATTTGGACCGCCATGTTTCTACAGTAGCTCTGTACGGACGAACACTGACTCTAGAAAGGGCATTTTGTGAGTTTTGCAGCCACCGTAGTTTCTGCTACACGCTTGGGAGGCCAACTGTATTCAGTTGGTTGCGATCTGTACTAACAGACACCACTAAATCCTACACCCGGGTCCTCTTGAGGCTCCACTGACGGCTACCTGGAGAGTTCAAACAGGTCCAAACAAACGTGCAGAGGTCACGTGAACACTAAAGGTCAGTGGATGTAACAGTCAGCGGGACTCCAAAGATAAGAAACCACAAACGACGCAGCCACAAGTGTTTTGCATTGCTGAGAAGGTTACTGTCGGGACTCGACTGGGTGCAGTAACACCCCGTTTCCTCCAAACACACACACACACACAACCCCACACACACACACACACACACACACACACACACACACACACACACACACACACACACACACACACGCCCTTTCCCAGTGCTTCCCACAGAACAAAGAAACAATGGAGGCAGGAAATGGCTGAACCCTGAGCTCTGCCCACGATGGAAATACACACTGAGGGTCCAACTTCTGTTCTGGAGGCCCGCCAGTGTGGAGACACACACACACACACACACACACACACACACACACACACACACACACACACACACACACACACACACAGTGCTTGTACTTTTACCGCTCTATCATTCTCTCTCAGCAGGGCTGTGGTTCCTGTAGCTAATCACAGAGCTACAGAGAGGGGAAGCTACATGACATTAACACACACACACACACACACACACACACACACACACACACACACACACGCACACAAAAACTCAACACAACAAGGAGGTCGCGACGTGTTCTTTCACTTCAAAAGACGAGAGGTCAGAGGAGATGGAAACAATAGAAGAGAACAGAACACAATAGAATACTTGACTAAATATTGGGAGTCGGGTGTCGAAGCTCCAGAAGGTCTCACATTCAGGTTGATGCAGGTACAGGTGAGTGTGCTAATAAAGAATACATTAACATAAATTAAATACCACTCAATCACACTAATCAAACCCAACTCAGACAGTATTACATTCCACCGCGCTGTTATAATGCTTCAGATTCAGGACGCATTCAAATTATTCTTAATGATCCCTTAAAGTCACATAAAGTCGGTTTTATTTAGTAACACTAAATTAGTTCATCCACAGAAAATTAATTTAAAACTCTTTTGATAATTGATTCATCGTAAGTTGTTTTTAATTGTAGTCAGCAGGTAATAATGTGCTTTAGTGGAAGAGTAAATTCAACTTAACATTAGTATACAGAAGATGCATTTAAGTTCTTACTTTATTATAGATAAATATAGATAAATATAATAAATTCTGTTAACACATTTTAAATAAGTCTGGAGTTCAATTAACTGAATGGAATTTGTAAAATATGAATTTTACCATATTTTTTTTAATACTTGAGTTTCTTGAACTCAAATCAAATCTTTTTTCATGCTTAAATGATTTTAGTTAATAAACCTAAACTTTAACATGATCAACACATATTTTCCCAAAAACACATTAAGAGAGACTGAAAAACTTTAACATTAACTTCATTAATTCTCATAATCAATTAAAAGCATATTTTTAAGACATTTTAAGGCCCTTTATTTATTTCCCTACACGGATCAATAAAGGAATAACTTCAAATTCAGATTATTGGATTTTAGACATTTTAAGCCCCAGCTGACCCGATGCCTCAATCTAACACTGAGCAACACACCGTAAACATAAACAGCACGAGCTATTATATTAATAGCTCCATTAGCTCTATTAACTAGTAAAGCTTTATTGTTTTTGAAGGAGCAGCAGGTTTCCATCCTCTCCTCACCTGTCTCACCTCAACGCTAAAATAAATGTATAACGTGACTCCTCGTGATCTCCTCAGTCTAACAGCAGCAAAAAGAAAACTCATAAAACCAACCATGGCTGCTGGTTTTCTCTCCCAACATCAACTGCAGGACTGATAACATTATTAATGGCTGGATTCCATTTACTTTTGCCAGCGTCCTCCTGGTACTGGGAGTTCTGCCTCACCGACACACCTAAATGGAACAGAGCCATCAATAATGTTATCGGTTACACCTGTGTCTCGATGTCCGTACGACGACGACGTTAATGCACTTATAGAACAGAAAATAAACCCTGCAGGGAAATGAGCTAACCAGTTTACTGTTGACTTTATAGCAGCGGCTGAGACTAAAAATATCCCAATAACTTGCCAATAACTCGCCGGTTCTCCAGCTTTCAACCGTTTCACATGGTCTTCATCAGCCGATCAGCTGTGACAGACCCGTAAATGTTTAAAAACCCTTTTAGGCTCAGTGCTCACTACAGTGGAGAGACTGCACTACACCGCCACCCTCTGGCCAGCTGGCCAACAGAAGAGCAGAAACGTGGGAATCTCAAACCAATCCTCTCACAGTAGGATCATTGCAGGTAAATAATATTTGTTATCTGGTAAAAACTGAGGAGGAATAAAGTCGTTAAAATGTCCAACTATTGTTTTATGTTATGATTAATCTTCATCGCTGCTTTATTTCAACTGCAATCACTGCAACTCTTATTGAAAATGCTTCATCAATGCACTAAATGTTTGACTGTAAATAAATTGATTCATATGTGATATTTACAGTAAGTAACAATGTGTTTATATTTCTATAAATGTTTTAAATATGTCTACATAACGGTTTTGCAATGCGGTGAACAATAAAATATGTAAACACATTACTTTTAAAGTTTAAAGTACTTTTAAGTTTTAAAAATATATATTTTTTATATTTATTTACATAATATACAGTTGTATTAATTGTTTTTTATTACACACATGCCGTCAACCTGAGTGGACATTTCATGCCTTCAAATGACTAAATAATAATAAAAATGTGTTGAGTATGAACTGTGGATGAAGACAGTGGTGAAAGCTCTGGAACCAGACCTTGAGTCTCTGGATGAAGACTTACTGGTGTGCAGGGTGATGTTCGCCGTCTCCTCGTCTCTCTGGGACCGGACCTGCAGCTCGTAGGCGGTTCCAGGCTCCAGGTGATCCAACACACAGGTGAAAACATCTCCCGCCTCCTTGCTTCCTCCACCCTCGACTCCTAGCTGGTTGGTTTCCAGATAGTTCGCTCCCGTCTCCTCCTTCACCTCCTCTTCCTCGCCTCGCTCCCTTCCTCCGATCTCATTAGTCTCTATCACCTCCTCGTCTCCTCTCCTGCTACACTCGCCGTCTCCTCCGGCGTCAGGAGACGTCAGCGTAAAGGAGCAGTTCAGTCCAGGTGTGTTAACGGTCAGTGACACAGAGTCCAGGCCGGACTCCGGTTTGGTCACGGAGATGTTACATGTGATGGTCTGACCCTCTGTGGGAGCTGCACTGCTCAGTTCCTGACGGGGAAACAACACACCGACATCAGTACGATGAAGCACTAAAAGAGAATCTTTTTAATTCAAATCAACAAAGATCTGAGATCCTCCCGTAGACTAATAAAGTCTGTAGTTTCATCCCTGAAGGAGCAGCTGTGGATTCATGTGTTTTAATAATGAGAAAGTTTATCAAAATGTCCTTCCAGCTTCTCAGACTCTCCTCGCTCCTGCAGCAAAATCTGTCAGCTTGCAGCCTTTTGCAGCATCGTTCACATGTCAGAAGGTCCATCTCCATCAAGGTAATCATAGTTAACTAAAACTAAACTAGAACCTAAAACTAGGAGTGGAAAACATAAGAATTACTTAATAAAAATACACAGAAAATGTCCAAGGTCTTGCTCATGGTGGTACTGTTGGGTCTCTGTAAATAATGTTATAAAGAGTTCGGTCTAGACCTGCTCTATTTGAAAAGTGTCCTGAGATAACTTCTGTTATGAATTGGCGCTATACAAATAAAACTGAATTGAATTGAACTTTTTGACATATTTCACATACATACACTTTCACTTTATCCTGACAGAAGAACATGAGACAGATAATCTGTGAAAGAATCAGGTTCCTCTGATTCCTCCTAGTTCCCCAATGACATCCAGTGTCACTGGCCCCGAACAAATACAACCACTCATGGAAGGTGTATTTTAAGCCAGGCTAACTGCTAAATGCTGCTCTAAAGCATTGGGTGCTTTTACTTTTTATATTTTTAAGTACATTTTATTGATTGATGATTATACTAACATACTTTTAATTAAAGTCCACTGTCTAGAGTCAGTGTTTAGTTTGTCCATTATGAGCTACTGTAGAAACATGGCGGTTCAACATGGTGGACTCCGCCAGAAGAGGACCCGCTCTCTCTGTAGATAAACACGTCTCATTCTAAGGTAACAAAAACACAATGATTCTCTTTTTTAGGCGATTATACACTGATAAAAACACACCTATGAATATTATATTCCTGATGATAGATCCTCCTCAATGTGACACACTGGACCTTTAAATAAACATTTTCAATGTGTTTTGCTTAATGGAGTATTTTTATAGCGTATTTGGATTCATCCTCACTAGAAGAGTCTGTAAACTGCTGAACTTTTTCTTCTAGTTACAAGAAAAAAAAACTCTGTAAAACCAGAAAACAATGGATCTTTTATGTTGCTGCCAAGAAACATGCAATGTACTGTTACGTTAGTTAATCAGCTGCAGCTATTTAAAGAACTAATGTGTATTATCACTTTCTGGGTTCAACTGAACTTTGGCCTTGTTCATGTATGTGAACATCTCAGACAGAAAATACAATAATGTGTCACTGATAATGAGGTTCAGAGAGTTCAGAGACAAACAATACTGCAGGGAGGAGAGACAAACAGACAGATAGACAGACAGGAAGAGAGGGAAATGACGACTGAGGGAAATTAAACTCCATAAATATCAGTGTAACATACGGCTCTGTTCAAACCCTGCAAGAGGCTGAAATCTGCACATAGATCACATCTACAATCACACTAATAATCCAGACATCATGTCAATTAATGTGAGTCAGGGGAAACCATCTAAACATGTTGTGTTGAAAGAACAGTCCACCATTTTAGGGATATTTTCTGTTTCTCCATCTGTGTCCAGTACAGTTATCCGTATCCTAGCTTAGCATTAACCGATAGCCTCCTGCTAAACTCCAAAAAATACTCCAAATAATAATTACCTAATGTTTTGATAAGGTTACTTAAGATGTGGCTATATATGTTGCGTTGAGTTGTAGTTTGGTGTTGATTCGCAGTTTGATTGGCAGTACTATCCCCGGTTTCAACTGGTTCAATGATAATATATATATATATACGGTTTAGTGTTTCAAAGAAGCATGCACTGCTTTCACCTACTTCACACTACCTTTTTTATGCCACACATACACACCTGCATGTTTTTGATAGTTTGAGATTGTGTGGACTAAACTGTGCATGTTGCCGTTCTATATACTGTATATAAGTGTCGCAACAAGAAATAATAATTCTCACAAAATCTCTTCATTTCTACGAGTTTTTCCTTTTGTAACTACGTTCTTAAACAGGTCGGTTTAAGGGTCTTATAAAAGCAAAAATTATACCAAAAATGTGCCTGTTATAAGAAGGTTTTCTTCTTGAGACAAGCTTCTTATCCTCAGTTAAATAATATTAATACAACATGACTTCAAATTCACTTTAGTAAACTACTGGTTTCCTCAAAACAGGACAGTAGAAATAAATCCTAGATGGTTTACTAATTACTTTTTGTTGTAAAGACAAACATTTCTTGATACAATAAGAAAGACAGAAAAGTCTTCATTACGATAAAGTATCTAATCTTTTATTGCTCAAACAAATGTTAACGGTAAATTTAAAAAATACAGTTTGAAATCCATATTTTGCATAATATGTGCTAAAATTGCAAGAGTGATGGATTACAGTGGTTGCTGAATTACTTGTCAAGACTTTTCTTGGTATAATAACGAACATGCAAGTCATATTTCCTTCATCGTCAAAACAGCAATGAAAAAAAAATGTTTTAACAAACAACAATACATTTGCATTGAGATGAAGCCTCTGGATGAATAACTGCTCTTAAATCACACATTTTCTCACTATTTGTTGCACAAAAATAGACATCACAACCTCGATGTTGCATTTGGAACTTGACCATAAAGGCTTGAATCGGAGAGCAGACTCACCCGGAGCAGCAGCAGCAGTGAGGAGAACCACAGGCAGCACAGATAACTTTTACATTTCAGCATTTTGATCCTCATTCACATCCCCAGACGGAGCACGCACCACCATAATCCTGAGGCTGAGGTAGAAGATGTGTGTCTATATTCACGATCCAGAAAATATCCCTTTTCTTTGTTTGTATTCAAGGTCTTCAGATGAGAACGAGTCCTTCTGGAAAATCGAAGCTGGAGAATAAAACAGCCGGACAGTAACTTGTTAAATTTTTCCAGAAACGTTATCTCTTCTGTCCGTCGTCTCTTCTCTGCCTCATGTCCATCCTCAACTCGACCCTCTCAGAATTCAAACTCAGTCTTTCCTCACTTCTCTCTGGACTCCCTCCCTGTCTGTCTCACCAGCTGTCTGTCTCTCTTCCTGTCTGTCTGTCGGTCAAACTCTATAGTGTTGAGGCTGGGAGTCACTAACGGACTTCCTCAATCAAGCCAACAGCTCTCTGAGTCACTGCGAAGGCACGACTACAAACTCTGCCTGGATGGAGACTATAAATAGGTCCGAAACTACAGTAGCAGCACACCTAGCTGCAGTAACAGCAGAGGTAATGTTATAAATAGAGACGAGTATTTGATTAATTCCCACTGAGACGTGATCGCTGTGGAGTTTAACGTTTGTCTCTTATTTTTATGACAGCGTCGTCTTTTGATGTGGCTCCATCTGTCAGGGTGTATATTTAGTTTTGGCTCCACAATAAATCCCTCATTGCTTTCGTTTCTGCTGCTAATAATTGATTAATTGTGTTGCACACTAAACAAAACGACTTTGTAATGTGAAACGTGTGATAATACTACCAATCCAACTGAGAATCAACACCAAACTGAGGTTCTAACTAACCTTTGGTCACTTTGAGCTCATAGTTTTGGTTTACGGTCCTACAAGCTAAACCGAGGGAAGAAGCTAACAAGGGTTAATTGTACACTACACCGTACAAAAACAGGAGCTGACACAAGCTAAACATACGCTACCTGCAACCCAAAACTAACACAAAATTAATTGTTCTGAAACTGAACTTTATTACAAAGTCTCAACAAATTGCTGCAAGGATAACACATTGTAGGCCAACAAGGAAGTTAGCATCACCCTGGTTCCTTTGACAAAACATCAGTGGGATTTTTCCAATGTAGTTTGGATTATTGCTCGCTGGCAAACAAAGATTTTTGATAATTACATGTTTTGTTCAGTAAGACAAAGACTTTTAAAGCATAAATGTGAACACCATAAGTGAAAAGCTATTAAACTACACTACAGTCGCATTGACTCCACCACTAAACCTCCAATGTGTAATTAAATAATAAATTAACTAAATCCCCATGAGCTAATTATCTTGTTATGTAAACATAATGTATATATAAATAATGTATTTTCAACTGATCATCACCCAATAATCTATTTTTTTTTAGTTGATTTTGGTTCCATTGGCGTATGCGTGTATTTTTAAGATTGTTATAACTTTTATTGATATTTGTTAACACCAAAACTTAACTCTTGTTATCTCTCACAAGTGCATAAACTAATGAAGTTTAAAGTTTATAAGGCAAGTTTATCTTGCACACTGCTATCAGACAATAAAACCCCACAGCTTTAGTTGCATTGTGTTATTTTATGTTGCCTTCTTGGTTAAATAAAGGTTAAGTTATTAATTTAATGGGTTTTATCTGGTAATTACTTAAAAAACATTAAAACAGTTTTCTTAGATAATCATTTTCTCGTCTCAACATATCAAACTTATCTCACAGTTACAATTTATTTTACTTTTGAGATATTGAGGTAATTTCTCCAACCAGAGGTGAAATTTGACCCACAGAACATTGTAGTTGACTCTTCTATTATTCAACATTACAAGTTAAAAGGCCAAACTGCTTTTGTTTCAGTTGGTTGGAGCTACTTTTAGTCATCCACACCTCTTTCCTTCCTTCCTGCTCCCCTCCTCTCTCTCTCTGTTTGTCTCACTCTCTCTCTCGTTATACGACAGTAAGTTTCTAGGAACAACAGTTCTTATCATGCACATAAATGACGGTAATAAACAGAATACACACTATAAAACAAATCAAACTAACATTTAGAAACAGCACCTCCTGGTTTCTTTTGATGTGACACAACTATGTAATTACTAGGTATTCAGATGAAAGGGAAATCTGAGTCATTGACATAAAGATCAAATTAAACCTGCTTTATTTTGTGCTTTAAATGATCTGTGCAGGGTTGAAAGGTGTCTGTCTAATTTTCAACGCCATTCAACACATGAAAAGAAACACCATTCATATTTAACAATGTTTTATTATTGAGAAATACTCTGTTCAAAGGTGGAGTTTCAGTTATTAAAAGGCCAGTGTGCAACATTTAGGACAGTGTTTCTTAAATGGGGATACGCGTAACCCTAGGGGTACTTTGGAGTACTGCGGGGGGTTTGTTAATTAAAAAATATCAGTCATGCATAATTCCTGAAATAAAAGTTCAATAAAACATGTAAATGTAAGTTTGATAAACCACATTTTATATTAAATATTCCCATTTTTTTCAAATTCAATGCCGTCTTAGTGTTACTGCATGATGACAAAACATTTTTTTTTTAAATCAACTAAAGGTTTCGCGAAGGCTGAGTTGTGTTCAAATGGTTTCTGCAACTTCACCACTAGATGCCACTAAATCCTTTAAACTGGACCTTTAATGTGAATGTCAATGGGATTTTGAATGAGGTTTTCTTGCTTGTTGAACAGAAGTTACACTCTATATATAATAATATACAATCTCAGCTCTGTCTTTATCGAAATCTGTATTTCACTGTTCAATACTCTGTATTTGTACAATATTCTGAAGATCAGTCAGTCAGTCAGAGTCCAAGACAACATGAGTCAGAGCTCCATTGTTTTTATGTCATGTTTATGTACAGATTACAGGTAACAATATATATGTAGATAAAGAGGTTACAGCACTACTCAGTGGCTAATGTTCCCCACTATTACAACATTCAAGTTGATTAGTAATACAGTTAAAAACCACGTACCGTATGTAATTAGCATCAGGTGCACTCTGACTGAGCTGTAATGCCCACACAGCAGAAGGTTAAAGGGACGCTAATATTTTTTACATTTGTTGTTTTGTTCTTCATAACAGTTATAACTCGATATGGAAACAATAAATCCTTAAATGATCTTTTTCATGTTGTCACTACCTATTATTCTTGATTAGAACTGAAAAGTGTGTTTGTTAGCTAGCTAACTGTATTATTCATTCATCTAACCAACACTGTCTTAATAGCATGCTTGCTAACATATTAGAGACTACTGTTAGAATTTACATTAATTGTTAGTTTACCGACATATTCAGCATCTTCGAAAAGTTTTAAATAAAGTTTTAGTACAGATTCCAATCGGGACTTCTGTCGCATTTATCAGTGCATTTATGGTAAATCTCAATAAAAATGTTATTTATGGTCATAAAAGCTTTTTAATTAAATACTAAAATCAGAAAAGGATCTTCACAGCATTACCGAACAATTAGGTGTGGAGCATTGATTTAAAATAACTTTGAACCTCTGGACTGAACTAGAATGTTTACATGAGCTAAAGTTGGTGCTTTCAATAGCTAACGTAGAAAAGGAATTAAAAATTTAATAAAAAATTAGCATACATAGGTTTTAGCAAGAGAAAGAAAAAAAAAAACATGAGTGGAAACTAAGGGACCTGTAAAATAAAGCCTTACCCACAAAGTTCAATTCCTGCATTGGTAACAGCGATAGCATAAAGGCTGAAATACTAAACATTTCATTTAAAGTGAATACAGATTATTCTTTACACTGTGACAACTGTCTATAATTGAAAATGTCTAGCGTCCCTTTAAGCTCCATCAACAGTCAACAACAATAAAGTACAGGACACGAACCACCACCGACTGTACATACACAATACTACGTCAGAGGCAGTGTGTGTTGTTGTACCCGCTGCTGCAGTGGGTATGGAGGCTGGGTTCAACTCACTTTCACTTCAGTCAGTTCAAAACGGGGAATTATGTCACCATCACACTGTGATATCTCAGATTTGTAACCATTTTGAGTTTGAAATTGATCCAAATCCTGAACTGACTGGATCGGTGATGGTCCCAGGAGGCGTGTCGACCATGTAGACGAAGAGACACAAGTCCAAAGTCCCTTGATTGTATCACAAGAAAAAGGAATAAATATAAAATAATTTGGTACATAGAAAAGGAAGAGTCTTCAAAGTTTCTCTCGTTTATTGTCCGTCAACGGTCCCAAACGTTCCCAGTTTTAGCAGCAAGATCTCCGTGTTTGTGGTCCATGGACTGAAATGTAACTGCCCACATTAGGTTTAATAGCACTTTAACATGTACTGTACAATGTTACCCCATTCACACAGAGCAGATTAGATGCGTATGTTAATGTTCTTCATTACTGGCATTACTGTAGAAACCTCAGATCTCTAAAAACAACCCCAGGAACTGACAAAACCACCTCAGTATTTTCTCAATATTGTCACCAGCCAGAATGTTATTGTCACATCATTTAGATACTGAGGCTTAAACAGGGTTGTGTGACTTGTATTTTCAAGGTTTTGATTTAAAAGAAAGTCAGTTTTGGATTCCTGTTCCCGTTGATGATTTAGAGATGAGGTTTGTACCCCGAATAATTTCCGTGCGAGTCGACAAATGGCTGATAGCTGCTAAACACCTCAGAAACATGTAAAAACAGTATAAAAATAAAGTTATTATTACTTTGATACACCAAAATAACGTACTCACTAGATTAACATAATTTACAACAGCACACCGATGAGATGACTGCACCATTAAATCATTTCACATTTTTGGTATAAAGCAATATATTATTACACAAACAGGGGAATTGTCAAAGCAACTATACAGAGAGAAAACTCTGAGACCAAGCAGCACAAAATGTTCTGGATTATTTGTTGTGTGTTTTCAATGTGGTTCTGTGCTGAAAACTAAACTTTAATTGAAATGTCAATATATTTAAAACAGTATTAACTTTAAATATGGACCAAATGTGTAAATTGTGACTGAAAACGATTAGCCACGCTACTTTAGAGCTAGCTTGCTCTGTCTTTTTGTATTCATTGGTCTTTTAACCAATGATAGTGTTCATTTTAAGATAATCTATATTACTACAGTCATTTTTAACAAAGATAAAACAATTATTTTGTCAGCATTCGAAAACTACAGCTCCCATAATTCTTAGACTGCTGTCAACAGGAGCTGTACTTGTTGAATAGTATAAAAAATAATATTGTTCTAACATATTTTTATTGTACACGTATGGTTTAGCAGTGGCAGTTTAATTGATTTAACAAAATATTGCATTAGCGTAGCGCGCTAGTAATAGCATGAGCTTATACAGTAGGTTAGCATCCATTTATTGACATTAAAGCATACGGATTGACACTTAACTACTAAAGCTAGAATTAGTACTACAAGATACTAGTTTAGCAGAAGCTAATTAATCATTACATTGGTTTTTAGCATGTGGTCTATGGCTGGAGGTAGCCCCGTTTGTGACTTCAGTACTCCGTAAGTTACCGAGCCGTACACAAAACGTACGTCCGGTGAGAATGAGCGGAGCGGCGCGGCCTGTGGAAATAAAGATTATAAAAATTGGTTTTGCTCTGGACAATTTAAAAGTTGTATTTGATTTCTCTCGATGACTCTGCTGCCTAGTTAGCAAGAAACATTTCAGGTTACTTGACATGAAAGTTTAATGACATTTGGTATCTCTGAGGAGTTTAAAATGAAGTTAAGACACCTGTGAGATGGTGGAAATACCTTTAAAAGATACCTCCTGGAGAACACGTAATTCCGTACCAATCACAGAGTAACGTACGGAGTGCGGAGGTCACAAAAGGAGCTGGACGGTTGGTTCAGCAGTGGTATAGTAGTGTAACCAAAGGTGCAACGAGCTAACAGTCATTTACCAATAGCCTTTCTGATAAGAACACCACATTACAAAATAATTTAAAATCCTATAAGACACATAAAACACAACAGTGTTATTGAACAACGTACCATCAATTTCAGTCAAACTATTTCTATGTTTCCATGACAGAAAAGAGGTAAGAGGACAGTCTGGTTAGTTAAAAACGACGCGATCCGAGAGAAGTGAAGTGTCTTTTCGTGTTCCTCTGAAGGATCACTCGCCAACAACACAAGAAGAAAACAGCAGAAAAAGAAGAACGGATACATTCCTTTTCCAGAAATTTACCTTTTCCTCTTTCCTTCAACGGGCTCCAGCCACAACAGTCCTCATTGGTTGTCCATCAAAACTCAAAGACCTCCTCCAGAGTCCCCTAACCTCAGAGAACTGCCAAATCTCAGAGATCATACCTGCTAAAGACTCGCTATGTCAGCATGCCTCCAGGTTTAAGTCCACAACCTCCTGCGGCGATGTGCGCTCATTGGCCGGTTTCTGCAGATAGGCGGGCCTCATACAGACTCAAGGCGTGATGGACGAACTCGTACTGCTCACCCGTCTGGATCATACCTCCCCTGCACAGACAGACAGACAGACTGTTAGTTAACTGTCAATACTGATAACAATGTATACTATAAGCATTTATATCCATTTAAATCAGGATAATGTATAAAGTTTAAATGCTTTTTAACCACGTTAAGGAATAGTATTTATGAAAAAGGTTTGTTTTTGATACTGCCATGAACACTAAGACACAGAAATTACAAATTCATTTCAACACAAAACATAATACAACAATAACACCTCGAAGCTAGAGAAAATTGTGGCAAGGGGGACAAAACTCATGTGAACAGGTTATGGGGACCTAACATCTGTTTACACAATGACATTGTGGGGACCTAACATCTGTTTACACAATGACATTGTGGGGACCTAACATCTGTTTACACAATGACATTGTGGGGACGTCTCAACAACTCAATGTAAAGATTTGAAAAGCTACAAACAGACACAACCTTACTTTAGTTTCCCCAAACTTTATTTATTTAAAAAAATGACCATTGCAACCCAATTCAGAGCGAGAAGAGCAGATTTGTGCTTTAATGAACGTTCCTGACCATTAAAACCCATTGAAACTAATGGAGAACAGCCCCTGAAGTGACTGTTTTCACCTGCTGTACAACTAATAATTAGTTATGTGCATCTTTTTTAATTATTTATTTATATTTATATTTATTTAGGACATTAAAAAAAACAAAAAAAACTTGTAGTCTCTTGTGCCCAAAGAGATAAGAAATTGTATCTCAGAAACTACAAAAAGTAATTCATCTGTGTGAACTCATTACAAGTTAAGTGTCAAAGATATGCACACATATGCTGCGTAAACTAAATATTTCATACGGGAAAACATATAATAAACACAATTTTAATGTTTTCCCTAATTTTTGACCACTGACAAAATTGTGGTTTTTAATTTTATCTAAAAATGTCGATGTTGTAGTGTTAGATACTCGACCAAAGTACGTTGGTACCAAATTTAAAGACTTTAGACCGATCAGAACAAACTTCATTTTTCCGTCTCATATTGGGTTAACATGAATCAATATGTCCTCGTTACCTGTCAGCTCGGAGCTGGCAGGTGATGCTCAGGACATCCACCACTCCCTCCAGCTGCAGCTGTCGACAGCCTATCGTCGTGGCGATGAAGCAGCCTGTCCGTCCAATCCCGGCACTGCAAGCAGAGAGGAGCGTGGGTAATGGAGTTATTTAAAAACATCTTTACGTAGCAGCAGATGAAGCTGGTTTCCCGCTCTCTTTCTTTATACCTGCAGTGGGCGATAACCGGCCCCGTGGTTGCAGCCGTCCGTCTGTCCGCCTCGACGTCGGCCATCAGCTGCAGCAGTGGCATCGTTGAGTCGGGGGTTTTGTGGTCAGGCCACGATGTGTACCAGTAATGCTGCAGCACGCGGGTTTGATTCCCACACTGAACACACGAAGAGAAAATGTGAATCCCGAGCGCTTAAAGACATTTCTGAACACAGGAATATTAAAAAGTGTGAGTACCTTGAGAGTGAGGCTGCGGGTCGTGTAGTGTTCACACTCTCTGATGCTGTTCACCAGCACTTCGACCTTCCCGTAGATTCCCCGTTTCTCTGGCCAATACAGAACACACTTCTACAGAGAGAAACACAGATATTTCACATTTACCTGTTGATGATTGTATTTTCAAAATAAAGTTCAAAGTTACTGGTTTCATTCAGTTTTTAGGAAAAACAACTTGCAGGTGAATTTTCGTTACCTCGTTCTTCTCTTTCAGTTTGGTGATCATGACGATGACGGGCGACTCCTCCTGCCACGCCATCTGCCAGAAGTCATTCACCGTGTTCACCATGGGACCCTGAGTGGCGATAAACGCCTTCTCGTCGCCTAGGTAACCCTGGGACAGGAGCCAATCACACAACAGTGTCAGCAGCCTCATGATGGCGTCTTTTAGCATCTTTTTTCTAACAGTAAGAAATCTAAAACACCTGAAGTTATTACTAATGATCAATATTTAGGTATTTAGAAGTTTATTTATAAGGAATTATCTTTTCTAGGTGAAAATGTTCAACAGTTCAAAACAAACTGTTGTTAAGACTTTTGAAAAAATATTATAAAAACATTTCTTTACTTCCTATATTCTCCTTTTTAGATAAATACACAAGAAACTTTATCAAGAAAACACATTTGGTGTTGAATCTGCAGAATTTATTTCATTATCATCATGTTGTCTAAATATTAATATTAAGAATAATACTTTTATTTATAGAGAACCAACTCTAGTAAACAAAATCCAAATCAAAAAACGAAAACAACATTAAACAATAAAGAAAATCCATAATATAAAAGTGAGTTTTAAGAGGAGGTTTAAAGGAGGATAACAGGTTTCCTGCCTCAGTCTGTGATATTTTCTGCATTCAGATGTTAATCATAAAACAGCTCTGATCATAACGTGGTAATCGGACCCATATTTTATACATACTGATCCCTTTCATGTGATAAACGTACTTTGGATGGACTAAAATTAGCCCGGCGTTGGTATTTACAGTAGGATGAAGAATCTGAGCACAGCTTCTGTTCTCTTCATGTCTGACAGTTTAAACAGTTTCAGTGGAGCTTCCTAACAGGAAGAAAGTCCATTGTATCCGAGTCTGAGAGCGACATTACAGACTTCAACAAGAGCACACTTTCACTGTGTGTGTGTGTGTGTGTGTGTGTGTGTGTGTGTGTGTGTGTGTGTGTGAGGAAACTGTTGACATTCCTGATAAGTGATGTGATCATGTCAGTGTTTGTTCTCAGGTTCAGAGAAGATTTAACAAATAAATGGTGTCATAATTAGCTGAATCAGAAAGACATTAGAAATGAATGAGGAGTTCCTCAAATTCAGGAAGTAGTGAGTGAAAATTATAAGTCACACACCAGTGGAGTTCATTTACTCACACACTGTACTTCAAGGTTATATATGAGATTTAAATCATTAATATATCAGCAAACAGCTATTCTCACAATCTCACTCCCTCTGAAGCTGCTGTTTTTTATCATCTACGTTCGATGAATTAAGGATTTATTTCCACCAAACCAGAGTTGGTGATTGTTGGAAACACTAACAGAGACGGTTTTTGAGTTTTTTTTGCAGTGCAGTTTTAAGTGTTTTAAGATCATCCGCCATATAAATATAAATTACTGTTTTTGTCAATGGAGTCTGGTTGGCTGTAGCACCCACTGTTTACTCAAATAAAAAAAATATTGTACTTTTTACTCCACTACAAATATTTGATGCTTACGAGTTACTTTACAAACCATTATTTAACATATAAAAGATATTTTAGTGGACAGCTGCTACTACTCACCCGTATGTAGTTAGCATTGATGTAGGAACTCAGCAGGTCGTTGCAGTTCTTCGACTTCAGGATCACTCTGGAGTGAGGGTCTAGGACACACGGCGAGGAGAGGAGGCGAGGACACAAAGGACAAGAAAGGTTTAGACCTTTACATTTGGGCTGCTGTGGGGACTTGGTTGACTTGGTTTCAAGCCCTTTTAAAATCAGTGTTGACTTGATCTTGTCCCTCTTTTAGACCTGGTCTCAAGTCTCTGATAAACTCAGTCTTGACCTGGTTTCATGCCTGTTTAAAGACTCAGTCATGATCTGCTTTTCGACTTTGTTTCAAGCCCCTCTTCAGACTTTAAGCTGAGTGAGACTCGACTCCCTTTAAGACTTGCTTTTGACTCGATCTTGACCTCATTTTAAACCTCGTCTCAAGTCTCCGTTAAACTCAGTCTTGATTTGGTTTCATGCCTGTTTTAAACTCGATCTTGACATTATCCTGATCTGTTTTTAGACCAGCACTCCAGCCTCTTTTAGACTCTGTCGGACTTGGTTTAAAACCCCTCCTGGACCGAAACTGGACCTGGTCCTGACCACAGCCCTGTCCACATAGAAACTCGAACACAGGAAGCAGTTTGATTGACAGCGGCTCTAGGTGAGCATTCCTTACACTTGATTGGCCGGAAGGAAGGAAGGAACACCCCCCCCGCTTACTGTTGTATTGATAACCCCGCCCCCTCTCCAAAACATAGGTACACACACTAAAATCATTGTGTGTGTGTGTGTGTGTGTGTTACATAAGGTCCTAATCAGGCCGAGTGTTTGGCTGGCTGTGAGAACAAACTGTGCTCTGAGGAAAATGCATTGTTCGAGTGTGTGTGTGTGTGTGTGTGTGTGTGTGTGTGTGTGTTCAGGGAAGAGGGAGGTGCGATATTAGCTGTCCTTGGGGTTGTTGGCCTTTGACCTTAAGCCCCTCCCACATAGTAAAACAACTTCCTGGTTCAACAGGAAATGAGAGATGAGGGTTTGGGAAAATGTTTCTGTTTCTTAGCAACACTGTCATTATTTCTATAACACACACACACACACACACACACACACACACTCTTTGAGTACTCACTGGGCAGTATGGTCTTGTATCTGTTCTTGGTCCCGTGGTTTGGAATATCCAGCTCTTTGGGATCAATAAAATTCATGGGAATTTCCTGAGATGGAAGCAGAGACATTGGTTGTTAGAAAGGTGTCGAGGAAGCAATCCTGCAGCCACACACACACACACACACACACACACACACACACACACAAATATATGTACTGTAAAATGAAGATCTAACTGAATTAAAATGACTCGTTGGGCTGTGATCTATTGGAAATGGCGTGTTTGACCACTCACAGCGAACTCGGCGTGCAGCTTGTGCGTGTTGTTGACGATGTCGCGGAGCTGCTGCCGTGTCAGCGGGCGGGCGGCCGACAACAGGTACTCCCTGGCCGCTGCCTCTCTGGGGGTCACCACGGCAACGTTCAGGGGCTCCACAGAGCCGAGAGCCGACATGTCCAACACGAGAGAGACGTTGGAGCCTCGTCTGGAGGGGACGGATGGCAGGGTGAGGAAGAGGAGACAGACGGGGAGGAGAGAAAAAGATGATATTATGTTAGAACAGGACAGGTTTAAAAAGTTCCTCCTCAGTCAGTGAAATTTGTGGACAACAGATGATCGTTTTGAAACTAAAATCAATTATAAAACAGAATTGAATTACGTATTGGCCACGTTGTCAATCAATTCAAGAAATGAAACACTGAGAAAATAAAGACAAATATAAATAAAATCCTAAACATCAGTGCTGTAAAAACTATGAGCTTTTTTGCATAATACTAGAAACATATGTTTTCATATCAAACACCAATACCAATACAATATCAATATGTCTGCCAATATCGGCCAATAATATCAGTCAGGCTCTACCTCAAAAAAGCTGAATAGTAGTAAACAACAAATAACATAAAAATAAGTATCTTCCAAAGGCACCACATCCCTCAGAGACACAATCCAAATGTATCTGGACATGGATACATCATGTTTTATAATATAAATACATTTACAAGGAACTCTGTTTGTGTTGATTCTGGCGCCCCCTGTGGACAAAAGCAGTAGTGTTTCTACCACCTTGTTTCATTGAAAGGGAACCTTCTCTCTGTGATGGTTTGTTTATGAAGGTCATACAGAGGAATCAGGATTAAACCGAGACTGTTTATAATCAGTTAAAAACAGCTTGAAGTACTTTTAATTAAACATTTTATACGACACTGAGACAAGAACCAATTCCCCAAAAGTGCAGGAATTTAAATTAAATTAAATATTTGCATTCATATAGAGGGTTTCTTCTCTAAATAATTTTTTCCTAAAGGTGAATTAACAACATCTAAGTTCACCGACTTTACGGTAAATTCCTGTTTCAGGAGCAAAAGTGAGGAAAAGAAAAAATAAATTGTTTTGTAACCATTAAATGTGAGAACAGAAGAAGACGGCCGAGGACGAGGAGAAAAGACAAGGTGTGCTTTGATGGGGTGTGTGCGAGTGGACTCTCCTCGTCTGGCTACGTGTGGGCCGGCTTCCTCTCCAGGATGCTGCTACTTCCTATTCGTCTGATTGCTGATTGGCTGCCGTCCAGAGTGGACAGCACACACACACACACACACACACCAAGAGACACAGACACCAAGAAAAACATCCTGTTCTCACTCTGAGGCTGAAATCTTCCTTCCTTTTCTTACCTTAAGAATCACAGTGCGTTCTCCACACTTTAACACTCTCGCTCTCGCCGCTGATGTAACCAGAACAAAATGGCCTCCGAGGTTTGAATCCGAGTCAACGGAAGAGTTACGAGGAGAAGATAAAGGCTAAAGTGCTCGACTCCGAGGCGAGGCGCAGATAAAGATGTTTTCTTTTCAGTTATGAAACTACTTAAGAGGAAAACGAACTTTTAACGCGCTCTTAAAGCAACATGGAGAGAAACGGAGCGCTCTGTTCCTCTGAACTCTTAACACGTCTGAGAAATGAGGTCGGTCTTATTTAACCAACAAACTCCACGTTTCTCACGCCCCAAAAAACTGGTTTTCAAACTTAAGGTCAATGTTAAACTGCGACTTTAGATCAGCGGCGGCTGTAAGTCGTATTTTAAGTATTAAAAAAAGTTTTATTATGTAGCTCAGATAATAGCACAACTACTTTAACATGTAGGTCAGTTTATATGACTGCATCATGTTTAATCTATCATACAGGAGGGTCCACAGGTGCTTTAACCCACTGGTTCCCAACCTTTTTCCTTCAGGGACCCTTTTTTATCATTAATAAACTGACTCAGTGACATATTTTATGGATATTTCATTCAATATTTTATTCAAACTGTACAATGAATGATTGATTTGGTAGAATTTTGAGCAGAAACTTTGCCTGTGGGGGTGAGGTCGGGAACCAATGTTCAGAATGAGTCATATTATGAGATGCTCAATCAAAATGAGATATTTAGTCCAATTTATGAGATCTACTGAATCAAAAGTATGAATTCTTTATTATTATTATTTATTATTTAAATCAATATGGAGACTAAAGAAGGAGATGGACATGGAGAACAAACTATGACCCAACAGCTTTACCGATAGCATCAATACGTCCAGGTGAAATGAATTCAATTCAATTCAATTCAGTTTTATTTGTATAGCGTCAAGTCATAACAGAAGTTATCTCAGGACACTTTTCAAATAGAGCAGGTCTAGACCGAACTCTTTATAACATTAATTACAGAGACCCAACAGTACCACCATGAGCAAGACCTTGGAGACAAGGGCAAGGAAAAACTGCCTGTTAAAAGGCAGAAACCTAGGACAGATCCTCCGGCTCTAGGTGGGTGGTCGTCTGTCTCCACCAGTTGGGGTGAGAGAGAGAGAGAGAGAGAGAGAGAGACAGAGAGAGCGAGAGAGAGAGAGACAGACAGACAGACAGACAGACAGGTGCACAGCAACAACAGTATTGGCAATAGCAATCTAGCAGGACCATGGCAGGAGGCTCCACCAGAACTGGCTGACTCGACCGTATTCTTTGGAAAACTGTCAGCGGTGATGTAAACTTTATATGACTTATAGGAAGCGGAATGAAACATGCAACGCCGGCACTCTCAGGGTAACCTCAAGAACATTAGGGTTCACGTGGTCACTTGGAGGAGCTGTAATGTACATTTTCCTGACACGAGGAGAAACATTACGGAGGAAATCAGTTCAACAGGACGCCTCCCTTCATATAAACAGCAGGACACGTACAGATTGTTTATGGAGGAAATCTACTTCACTAACGTAATCCGTCACCGCTGATGTCTCTGAACTATACTACACACACACACACACCTCGTCACGTACGCAGCTCAACACCTGACCGCTCCAACAATCACAGGTTAGAGGTGACTGTACTCTAAACACACAAACACACACATTGTGTTCTTCCGTTCCTAAACCTGGCCGACGATCTGAGAACTCGTTTCCAAACGTTACTGAACTCTAAGAGATGATATTAGTGATATTTATTTGTTGCATATAATCACTACAGTACAGCAGCAGTTGTTTACAGGTCTCTGAGACGCATCGCTGCTGATTCAGACGTCAGAATTTATATAAATAACTTTATAGTGAAAGAGTTTAATTCAGTTTGTCTTGAAGGAAAAAATATAGAAATATATAGTTTTGTGTTCAGACTAACCAACAAATGAATATACAAAGAGGCGGGACTTAAACGCAGGAAGTTACCTTTCTTGTAGTCCTGCAGCAGGTTTCATCCTGAAGGGGGAGGGGCAGGGCTTTAGCTCGTTACTGGCTGTCACCGGGGCAACGACGGCCTGGGGGGCGTGGTCACTGCTGCTGAATACGTGGACGTGGGCGGGGCTGGAAGGAGATGCACGGTCAGACGTGGTTTATTTTAATAGAATTTGATTTTGGGATACATCGTCAGGTGACTTACCTGGGCAGAGGGACGATGGGAGGAGCGAGGCGGCGGCAGGCTACGATTGGCTGCTGCTGAGGAATGGGCGTGGCTACAGCTGGAGGGAGCTCAGCTTGGACCATGCTTCCTGACGTCACAACCTGGAGAACAAAGGCCTCATTAATGGGCTCATTACTGTATGAATTTATAACGTGTAGGCAGAGACAGGTCTGGTGGCCAACCTTGGTGCCCTTTGACCTCTGGGCGGAGTCTGGAGAGACAGTTGGGGTCAGGTGGAGGTCAGGGGGCGGAGCTTTCACCTGTCTGTCAGAAACCTGAACCTTCTCTTTAAGTCGGTACAAAACCTGGAGATCAACAGGAGAGGAATAAATTATTATAATTTCTCTTTAAAAAGAAAGAACTGATGAAGAATCCAGCAAGTAGTCACGTCCCGGCGAGATTTTAGGGCTTTGTATGAAAAATACAGAACAAAACTGTTTATCTTGTTTAAATCAGGAAACCTTTCTGAAGTTCGTTATTTTACACTGATTCATTGAGGAGTTCAGCATATTTGTTAAATTAATGTCGCCTCCAGTTGAAAATATGTTTTTCTGCTCGTTTCCTACAGTTGGATGTTTGATCTTTCGTTTCCAGGAGGTTTTCTTGACAATACACACAGCTCTTGCTTACAAACGCTCATATGAGCTGCAGTTTCAGGCCAATTTACTACATTAATTTGGCCACAACCCCTAATAACAAATCAAATGAAGTAGAATTTGTTTTAT